CAGTAAAACTATAGAGGAAGCTAATGGCCTACTATCAGAAGACCTGTCTGTACCGGGAAAATATTTCGCAAACTGGAGATTAATCCCAAATATGAATAAAACTGAAGTGTCGTGCTTTCATCTCAATAATAAACAAGCACGCCCCAAGTATACTTCAATAACAACTTGCTACGTTATTGCAGTCGATCATTGTTTTTTTTATAGAACCTTTTTTAGTGCGAAGTGTACAAAAATAGCTTAATAGCCGTAAAAACCTTATCGCAACTTTATTAGAATATTTTGAACGGGAAAGCGGTAGTAATGGCCCTTTATGTCCCTTAAATGCTGTTAAGAAGGGCAGTTTTGTTAATGTAAATAATAACTATTTATATATTTATAATAAATTTATTTTTGCTTCCTAAAATCATCAATTCATTTACTAAAAATTGACATAAAATTTGTGACCTGAAAAATAAAATAATTAAAAAATGTCGTGTCAAAATAAAGAAGAGTACGTGTCAAGTAAATGACGTCTAGGGCTTAACCTCGCCAAAATTATCATCGATTGTCATTTCGCAGCCCTCCTTGACGTCGTTTTTTTTTTCGATCGTACAGTATAATATTAGTACACATATTAAGTACAGTAATATTAGAATAATATAAGATATAAATAAAAAAGAAGCTAATAAAGAAAGAAAATAATCTTCTGTATGCATATTATAAGAAAGAAATATTCTTCGTTTCATTAAAATCCTCGTTAAAATCTAAACTACAATGATTATGATGAAACAAATAATCTTAACGGTGGCTTAATTACAGTTAGCTAAGCTACGTCGTAATGAAGTCAGATATTTTTATTAAACTGGTAATCCAGAGCTGTAAATATATTTAAAACAATTTTTCCTTCATTTCAAATATCCATAAAACGTAATGAATGTAATTATTACGGCAAGATGATGGTTCAACTCGAGTTGTTGCAGTAAAAAACCCATTACTTTTTCCCCATTAACTTTTTAGTAGAGGTAAGTAAGTATTTCCATATTAATTATGTTTCTTTTAGACAGGTATTTGCAAGAAATGCGCTCAATAATAATAGCTACATAGTTTTTAAGTTTCCAACATTTCCTATCCTTAAACTCAGTATACGACCGAGAAAAATGGTCAATGCGACAACTATGAAACTATGAACCCTTCCCCGACACAAACGGTACATTGTGAGACAGGAAATTGTAGAGAGAAACAAGCCCTATAACATAGGATACAACATTTTAATGAACAGTGCTTTCCATAAAATCAATAAAATGAAAAATATACGAAATAATATACATGTACTGATTTCTTTTTAAATTATTTTCAATAAATTACAAATATACAGGGTGTCCCATATAAAAAATCAAATTTTCTGTTGATAATTCTTGAATTATTAATTTTAAAAAAATTATACTTAAATCATTAAATTCTACGTAAAAAGGTGCTTTGGAAAAGTTTTCATAAAAATACAAAATTTTCCATAGCAAAAAAGTTACAGCGATTTGTTAAAAATGCATATTTTTGAAAAACACCCCGTAACTCCGAAACGGTAACAGATATCGATATGCGGTTTTCACCATCATGTTTTTGACAAAAATTGAGCTCCAGACACCGATATTAGTTTTTGTCTATTTCCTATAGAAAAGGGTGTTTCCATTTAAAAGCGTCGAATTTGACCCACCCTGTACTGTATCCTGGATGAACAAGCTTTTGTCAAAGCCCTGAGACAGTATGATGAGTTACAACTCAGGAAAGTCAGAGACAATAGTCCTTTCATCAACAATTTAGAAAAAAAAGCAGATTAGAAACAGTATTATGTACCTGTATCATGGTATTTAGAAACCTCGTTTATGTTTGTTTGTATTTTTATTTATTTATTATTGAACGCATTCTATTTGGTTGATACACACTGCAAAAGCACACAATGTTATCCCTGAAAATAAAAAATATATAGATATCTATCATGTGATTCAATAGTTTTATCACACTTTAACCACTGTGACTGTATTAATGGCTTGTGTTTGAATCAAGTTACATTTAAAGAAAAATACAGGTTACAAATAATAATATTTGGAATCAGATTTCAGTTCGGAAAATATTTATTTTCACACGATCTTGAATAAAATGAAACATACGGATTGGCTGATTATGCACAATAATGCACTTAAATTTGTACGATTTCTTATGCATATGAGAGTGGTGTGAATTTTGATACGAATGAAAGTTGCATTTTAATATGACCAGCAATTTCTGGTCAATAAATTATCCATATTTTGATTCATTACAAATTTATTTTAAAAAATGCAGAGTAGAGGAAATTATTTTAATAGTTATTTTTTATACAAGACGATAAAATGGTATTTTACGATAATGCAATTTTATCGTCGTGTATAAAACAATATTTTCTTCCATAGCGAGTTACGTTTTAAAAAATATTCAGAAATTATTATTTCAAGGAATTTATTACGAGTAGAAAAAATATTGTGCTGGGTTGGCGATGGTTTCTATGTAATTTGACAAATAAATAAAGCTGTCTCTTTAGTTGTCAGTTTTGAGTCATTCTTGAGTCAATATTTTTTAATTCTCTTTCGTGTCGATTGCTGATTGAATTGGAGTCAGAAATGGCTCACAACGAAATAAGTAAATTACCAACAGATACTCAGGCTGAGACGACAAACGCCATATCCAAACTACCTCCATTTAAATCCCGAATAACTTATGAAATGGAATACAAAAATTTAAAAAAATGGAAGCAATTAAAAAACGCGAGAGAAGAAATAAAGTTTTTAACCTATCCTCGCTGTTAAAATATCATTTAATCTACCCTAGCGGGTTAAAGTACTAATTTACCTACTATTTTTGATAGATATAAGGCAATTTTAACAGTAGCTATGGAAAAAAAATATTTGCACTTATTTAATACTCACCCTGTATAAGTCTTTGCTATATTAATGGAATAGATCGATAGTCTCTTGGTATATTCAGGAGTTGGTATATTAATTTATATTATTTGAAGTAAGTACGTCTGCACTGGACGCGCGTTTCGCTAACTACGTTAGCATCATCAGCAGATTGACGATTAAGACTGTTTAAAAAGTAACATGGTTAGCGTCGTTAGCGAATTGCGCGTCCATTGCAAAAGTAATGTGTTTTGGTATATATTGTGGTGAATTTTTATTTTGCTGTTGTAACACCAAAGGGTTCCAACCCTCAACCAAGACTGGTAAGTGTCAAACATGTTTAACAAAAATATACAGGGTTGCTTTTATATATGGAAACGGTCAATTATTAGTTAAAATATAGGAGGTACCGCAAAAAGTTAAATACAAAAGTTATAGGATTTTTAAATATCTATTAGCGAGTAATAAATTTAAGTATACAGGGTCGTTCATAAAGTCGTGGCACATCAAAGTTTCATTTAAACAATAATCGTAATACACAATGTACATAAATTGAATAATTGAAATGTTAGACGAAAATTTTGTAATTTCCAGACTTACTGTACTCTCATTGTATACATCTTACATACATCTTAATTAAATCAAATTGTTTAAGTGATATTTTCAAAAGTCAATAACTCGGAAACGGTTGGTATGAGGTACAGCCTTTGAATAAGAAGACTAAGGAAGGAGCATAATGCTATCCATGTATTCATGCATGGTGGGCGGAAAAAGCGCCATAAAAGCACTCTAGGGTGGGGATCCTTGACAGTTCTGTTTGACGATTCATTTGACACATTTGAATTTGATTTGAAATTTTGTGGATTTGTCAGTCTTTACGGAGCTTATTTTATGTTATTTATTATTTATTCTACTACTGATAGTTGTATAAAGGTAGTAAATCTAGATGGAAATTGTGGCAGAACTTAAATTAACAGTGACACTATCGCGATTTATCGAAAAAGACTCTAAAATAGTTGGTTGTGTAGCGTGCGGTAGATCTCGGCAAAAATTGAGTGAAATAATGGAACAACTTTTCGCTGGTAAGTGACTATATAATATACATACGTGTAGTAAACCAATCATATATGAAATTCACTTAAATTAACTAAATTATATATTTTTCTTGCATTTTTAGCTTTTATTTACTACTTGTCAAAGATTAGATGTCAAAGAATTTAGATACGTTAATTTGACTTACCTGCTTCAGTAGCGTATCGGATGTTTGTGTTAATAAATACTTATTATAACTTATCTATTTTTATTAGAATTATATATTTTTATAACAATTTTAATAACTACCAACATTTATTTACAACGTAAAATAAAACAACAAATTATTGAGTCTACCCCACGTCTACCCTACATCATAGTTTTACATTTTTTAAATAAAATTAGAACGACACTGATAAACCCGGAATTTAAGTCGGCCATATTTGAGGCCCATCGCGGTGTACCTAAGATTTTTAATATGCTCCTTCCTTAGTCTTCTTATTCAAAGGGTACAGCTGGTTCCAAAAAAATGAATACGACTCTTTACACATTTTTTTCGAATATTTGAGCAGTGTATATTTATGTGTCAAGTATTTTGACATGTTAATTTTATTGTGACAACTTTGTTTTTGACAAAGTGACAAATAAATTTTCCAGAATGTCACATAAATGTTAGCATGACATGAGTAGAGAAATGGGGGACTGGTATCATAGAATATACTGCCCGAAATAATAAAAATATGTTTTAAATCGTATTCAATTTTTTTGGAACCAGCTGTACATTATGTGTATTTCGACTTTTGCTTAGAATTGAAGGAAGAACCTAAATATGCAATAATATATAGGGGGTTCCTTTTAAAAAATGAAACTTTGATGTGCCACGACTTTATGACCGACTCTGTATACTTAAATTTATTACACGCTAATAGATATTTATAAACCCTATAACTTTTATATTTAACTTTTTGGGGTACCTCCTATATCTTACCTAATAATCGACAGTTTCCATACATAAAAGCAACCCTGTATAGGGTGCTTCTCTCTTAGATTCAGTAGTACCTGGATTTCCCGCAAAATCCTCCTTATCCAGAAGTGCACTGATGGGAGGCTGCAAACCGTACGCTGGCATCCAAGGATTAGTACCCGTGTTATTCAGGTCCACCGGCTGTCCTGGCCAGTCCTGAAACGACACTTCCTCCATGTCAAATCCGGTACTACAGTACTACACCACTCTAGTTCTAATTTACATTGCTCCTATTCCGGTAGTACCTACCCGACACTTAACTTAAATCACACGCATATCAGCACTTTGTTTTAACATTAAAACCCATACGCGCGCCGTGCGGATCTTCCGATGGAAGGTACTTGTAACCCGGTCATACAACGGTACCACCGCGTTCTCTCGTACTCTCCGAGCGAAGATCTGATCGAGTCTGTGACCTTTAATTCCGGCAAACAAGAGAAGGTACCTGTGAAAATATTTTTCACGACGTTCTAGGTACCCTGAGGAAGAGGAACCACCGTGCACCGACCGAAGAACCGTCTCGGAGCTCGCGAAATGCACCACCACCAGCACGGTGTGCTCGATTTGTGTACAGAGAGTTGGAAATCAACGCGAGGCGCGTACCATGGCAACGGTAGAACGATCAGCGGTGTCGGGGTTTTTGTGGAAAATGAACGGAAACCTGCTGGAGTCGAAAGCCGGCTGCGGCGTTGCCGGATCGCGCTGAAAATCCCTAGTTTTAACTAATAATATTTTAGTATAAATAATAATAATAGTAAATAACGACACATTTTAAAATACTTTTTAGTAGGTTATACACAGTGTGGCACAGGCAGTGAATCTAAAAACTTTTGTGTTTTTTGTACTAACCTTTTTCTTTGCAATCTATAGGTATGTTTTTGCAATCAACGGTTATACAGGGTGGCGCCTCTCATACGAAGAGGAGACTCCACGGACAGTTTTAATTAAAATTAAATTTTGTGAGTAGATGTGTGTAGGTTCATTTAGAGCATTTTTTAAATATACAGGGTGTTCCAGAAATAAGTACAAGTATTTTAACTGGTAGTATATTATATTTCGGTCTCGGAAACAGGCCTATGAGGTTTTTTTGCAAAAAAAAATTTGAAAATTTGGAATGTTTTGAAAAAAATTTTAGATTTTTTTTAGTTTTAAGTTAAAGAACATAATTGATAATATGTCAACATATGTAGGTAGTAGATTAAATTTACATGAAGGAAAATCAAGAAAAGATCTAGTGGTTCTCAAAACTTAAGCAAAAAAACATTTTTTGTTTAAATTTTCAAAGTAAGATAACTCGATTATTTTGGACTTTTTTGGACTATTTTGGAGAAAAAATTTTGTTTTTTCTTTTGACCAGATCTACGACCCCTTAAAACCCTTGCACTTACTTCTGGGACACCCTGTATAGTATTCTACAGGGTGTAGAATAAATAATAATATAATAGTAATAAATAAAGGTGAGTTTTATTAGAGAAGCATGTGACTAAAATGTAGGTTTTTTGAGATAAACTAATAACATTTTCTAAAAATAAAGAAGAAATTTTAAGTTTAGATATCAGCTACCTAAATCGGAATTTACCCGGTGTAGCCTAATATGTCGTTAAAATAACCATTGTACTTTAAATCAAATTAAAACTTGATTCCAAAAGTTTTACAGGGTGAGGCAAAAAATATATATTTTTTAATGTACCTATTGTTGCTTGCACCTTCTTTTCTTTGCTTGCATCTTTTGCAAAACCCTGTGAGCCTTCCTGTATAAATGTCTCTCCATTGTTTGTATATTAATACGATATTTAATACTGAAAAAAACCAAGTAAAGTATGGCAACATAGCGGATAGCGAGACAATCTAAAAAAAAGAAAAACAAAAGAAAGGGGCTCCGTGTGTTCACCTAAACCTAATGACCTAAGCCTCCTAAGCAATCATTTATACTATAATATTACAATACCGAATCCCTTATCTATAGTAAGATAAAGAGATCAACCATCGCGGTAAATTCGAGACATTTTTTTTTTTTGCTTTTTATGCTTGATATACATATACACATACCTCAACATTGGCTTTATTATTGGTAAATTACGAGAATTCCATTTAATAAAACTACAAAAAAAATATTATAAGTGTATTTTAGACATAATTTCAAAATTATAGATTTACATGCACCCATCATGCACCTCTATAATAGTAATTTTACACATATCTAGGTATATAGAGAACACAAAGAAAGTAGACTAGTCTATCCAGAAAACCCAATCAATTTTTTAATTAAAATGACCATAAAATGACAGCCAACAACTGTCTGTGTAATATATTCTCTCGTAGGACAGACTATATCGAAGATTATCCGAAGCTTAGATCCGAAGTTTTGGACAACCCTGCGAACAAAAAATTTTTCTTCTGTGGTAAATCGTAAATGTCAAAGATTTTGTAAGTTTAGAACACGTAAACAAAGTCAAAAGTATTTTCGAAATTTAGAAGAAAAATACATAATTATGGGAGATTTCGTAAATCAAGATTTTTACTGGAACAACCAAGGCGAAGTACCCGTTCAGCAACAAGGATATTACGAACAGGATTATCAGCAATTTTCTAACCAACAATTAGGTAAATGAACTTAATATGTCTTTTTCAATGTTATTATTCTTCATAATTATTTTTGTAGAGTTTAAGTCACACGAAGAATTCGCCAACGTATCATATACTCAATACCCTGGCAATTTTTACAACCCAAACGATTATGAACTACCTAAAGAACCCGAAGATGACCTAGATGAACCTCCACTACTTGAAGAGCTAGAAATTTACCCAGATCGAATTTTAGAAAAAGTTCTGGCAGTGTTAAATCCCCTCAGAGCCCATAGTTTAGCCGACGACTCAGAGTATCTTACAAAAGACTCCGATTTAGCCGGTCCAGTTTTCTTTTGCCTTGCCCTAGCTCTCTTATTATTACTAGCAGGAAAATCTCAATCGTTCAGTTATATATACGGATTCTCTATGATATCCTGCGTGTTAATGTACTGTCTACTCTCATTGATGGCCAGCGCTGAGAAATCTATCACTTTCTCAACCGTTGGCTCGATTTTAGGCTATTGCCTGATGCCGATTATTGGCCTGTCAGTTTTAGGTGTGTTTTTTAGATTAAGCGGTACGGTAGGCATTATTTTGGCGGGTTTTACTGTCGTTTGGGCGAGTTTTTCAGCGTCCAGGCTGTTTGTAGCTGTGTGCGGTGATAAAGAGCAACAGCCATTGATTATGTATCCGTCTGCTTTGGTGTATGGCGTTTTTGTCTTGCTAGTTCTGTTTTAGAATTGTAGCGAAAAGTATATTACCTTTAATATAGTTTATTTTTTTTATTTATATTAACATCTGTATATATTCATTAGTAAAATAAAATAAATTACATCGGTGTTTTTTTGTAAAACACCCTATATGAGAAAATACTCTTATAATTGGACTAAATAGGTATGTGTGTAATCCAGATGTGATCTATATACTCAATACCGGTCATTTTAAAGGATAACACACTTATTTTAACAATATTGTTTGATTTTACCTGATTTTGCTATATTTTTGTCTGGTTTTAGTATACAAGAGTTATCATATGCAACTCACGCAACTGTAGTGAATATTAAGTTGCCTATTAATTTTTTATAATCAGCTGTTTTAAAATTGACAGTGACATTTAAAAACTTTGGATCATCTTTGGATATTTGTTTTTATCTTTTTTACTATTGGATTTTTTTTATCAGTCATTGTTACAAACGTTTTTAGGTGCTAGTGATAAAACGGAATAATAGTAGAAAGGGAATTGACGAAGATATAGGAAAAAAACAGATTGCGTAACCCAATTAAAATATGTAAATATTTAACAATCCACCAACCAATACCTATTAAGTTCTAGTCAATATTTATTATAATGTGATTTCAAATTGATTTTTTCTGTATTTTATAATTTGAAGAGTTTTGGGTATGCCTTTTTTCGAAAAAATGAACATCTTTAGCCGTTTTACCAACGTCGCTGCTGATTTTGGTAGCCTGACCAAGTATATTCTGCTACCTTCTGAATATGAAGGCAGCTACAAGGTAAAAATTCTCTTTAGTCAGCATAAATAAACATTTTTATCGTCTCTAGACCTTGATTAAGAACATAACGAAAGTTTACCTAACTGGCTCTTGAGATAAAACTTGTTTTTGTTTGTATTTTTATTTGAGATTATATAGGTTTGATAATTTTTCAGTAGTTTTTTTTTCATTTTGTTTTAAAGCTTTGTGCAGATAACAATGGTATACTTAGTTAAGTTTTAACAAAAGATATAAACTCCTTAATACTTTATTCTTTTTTCAGATTATTTATTTCTTTGTATTAATTGTATTAAGCCTAATAACTGGATTAGTTGTAATTTGTATCAGGAGATGTCATCAAAAAGGTATGTATTTGAGTTCATGGTCAAATTCATTCGAATTTAAATCTTTATCATTAATATTTTTTAGTATTTTCCTCACAAGCGGCTATAAAATCGGATGGCCCAAGATTCAGAAAAAGGGACAAAGCATTATTTTATGGAAGGAAAATGATAAGAAAAGTTAAAAACATTTCCGGGCAAGTGAGAAACTCTGGACAAGGAAAAAAGCGTAAACTTGTAATGAAATTTGCTAGAAGGCTGTTACAAATGAAAAAAGAGGAACAAGAACAGCTAAAGGTGAGTTAAATATTAACATTTATTTGTTTTTTAAACCAGAGTTAGGAGTATTGACATAATAAATTAGCATTATTTTTACATGCTGATTTACATTTTTGTTTGGGATGAATTTTAATGAAACAGATGGCTTACAAGTGTCTTTGTTTTAAGTGACAGTTCTAAAAAAAGATTAAATAAGAATGGGAATATATCCTTTTGTAAGTTTAAATTGATACATTGTTTGACTTAATATTTAATTAGTACTAACAAAAAGAAAAATAGTGTCATATTTTTTTTAATTACATGATATTGCTTTAAGCGCACCACAAGCATTATACACCTATCAGTTCAAAGGTTAACTATTTGTTTAATAATAATCAGTATAAATATTCTTAGATAAAAAAATGGTAAACAAAGTTCAGAGATTTAATTAATTTATTTGCATTGTGATGATTCATAATCGTATTTTTTTGTGAGAATTGATAACTTCAATCATTTTATTAATACTTTTTAAGACTTTTTTTTTTAAATTAATTGCCTAGTAAGTGTTCTATTGTATTTTATGAACTGTAGTTCTGTGTTATTATTTATCCTTACTGAAATGTTTAGTAAAGAAAGTTTATTTTTGGTTTAAAATTATGATTTAGTTTGGCCTATAGGGTCAGTGCACTGGTTATCCGGCCAGCACTGGTCCTCGGCCTTTTTAGGATTTAAAGCTAAATATTAGTTAATTTAATCGCCGTTCATCCAGTGCAAATGGTAAAATAGATTCATGTATCATTTATCTATCGAAAGTAGTAGGGGTGAAGATGGAGCTGCAACTAATAAGCGTGCGAAAAATCCACAGTTCTTGGACACACAACAGAACAACATAGGTAGTGTTTCAAATGTAAATTTGCTTACTAGTGTGAAGCTACAAAATAGTAAGTATTTTATTATTTTTTTACTCTAGGTACTTGTAATGTATTATATATTATGGAGGAAGGGTAAAAACATGTAAATATATGTTAAAACTAAGCAAAAGTTGGGTTTTTAGTTAAAATTTTCAGTGGCCGCAAACCAGTAATTAAAAAACACGCTCTTTTAGTTCTCGGCCAACATGGCCGAGAGTCAGTATAAAAAGTTATTTTTCAATCTTAAAAAAAAACTATAAAAAAACATATTTTGTCTTGTGTTTGTTATTTTTTTATTTACTTATATTATTGCTTTTTAATTATTAGATTGCGGCCGCTAAATTAATTCGAATATAAAATATAATTTAATCAAAAATTATGTTTAAAAATAGTGACCGAGAACTAGCGTTTCTCGGCCACCATGAAAAATAGTATGGCCGAGAACCAAGATCACTGTAGATTTCGGTTCTCGGCCGCTAACCAACTCTAATGCTTTTGATTTTTTTCAGTGGCTAGGGAAACTAGGAGAAATAAAACCCGGGGTAATAAAACTGTCTTGATACGACCTAAAGTACCAAGGATGTACCAATACACAAAGGAAGATCTCAAGAATGCTCTGCGTGAGATCCGGGAAAACAAAATAAAAATAAGGGAAGCCAGTCAAAGATTTAATGTACCAAGGACGACGATCCAGGATAGAATCAAAGGAAGAGTACCCGATCTTCTGAGGAAACCCGAATTATGTTCAACGCCGAAGGAAAATTTGCTCCTCCACTTTTGTTATTCCCTTATGTGCGACTTCCCAGGGCTGTTATTGTCGATATGCCGAGCGGTTGGGTGTTAGGAAAGTCAGAAAGAGGATGGATGACATCTGACGTATTTTTTGAGTTTATCAATAATGATATTAAAATGGTCGATTACAGAAAATATTCCGAGGCCTGTTTGTGGATGGGCATAAATCCCATCTCACTATGACAATTAGTGAGTGGTGCCACAATAATGAAATAATTTAATATGCTCTTCCACCTAACATCACCCACATGCTCCAGCCTGCTGACGTTAGCGTCTTCAAACCGATGAAATCGGAATGGAAAAAACAGTTTGTAAGTGGCAGAACAAACCCGAAAATCTAAATTGCTGGGTGACAAAAATTAATTTTTGAGCGTGTTTGACGAAATTTTATCAAAATCTGACAGATTTAAGAATTCTGTAAAGAATAGCTTCAGAAAATCAGATATCTATGGTTATAGGTATTTAACCGGTACCTAATGTTTATAGTTACTTATTTGTTATAGTTTATTTAGGTTTTAAGGAGCCTATTGCTATTATTGTATTACTAATATTCCTGCCATACATACATATAAGTTCTTTAATTAAAGTTTTTTTATTGATACCTTCATAAATTAATTGATTCTTAATTAGGTATGCAGAATCATAGTAAGGTATCCTACCTATATTCTAGGTATACCTACATGGCCGAGAACCAATACAAAATTGGCCGAGAACTGTGAGTGGTGGCCAAGAAACAGTAAAATAGCACTTTTTTCGGTTATTATTGTTTTTTTACTAAAGTTTTGAAAATAAAAATTTAAAAAAAAATCCATAATTATTAAAACACTCTACCGAACATTTTTTGTATTGGGCAAATTATGATTTAAAACCTCCTTCCATATCTAATTTGCTTTCAAAGTCAAAGTTTCCGTTAAAAGGCCGAGAACCAATGCATTGACCCTATGTATAAATGTTTGTTATATTTAAAAACAACGATTTATAATATTCATGGATTTGTTTTAAATATTTTATATGCATTTACATATTAATAATAATAAATAATATTTGAGTGTGTTTTTTTTATTATGGATTTATCAAATGCCATCAAAACAATGGATATATAAAAAATACCTATTTTTAAAACAAATATTTTTTTTTCTAATATTTTTTTATTATTTTGTATTATTTTATTATTCTCTATTTCTTCGTCTTTTTTGACTCGTATTCAGGGGATCGATTCGATGTCGAATCAAATAAATAATTCACCTAAATTTTTAGCTCTTTACGATTTTCGAGATTTCTAAAAAACCTGTTTTTTTAATTTTATTTTATTTTTATAGTAAAATTCAAAATTAATTAATGATGATTTTTTTTCTAATTCTTCAAAGTCTAAGACATTAAAAAATAATATGATCATGATTCTTAAACGAAAGGCCGATTTTTAGCGGAGGAAAGAAAATTAAAATCTTCATTTTTTTAACCTTTGTGAAATATGTCACTAAAAATCATCAGAAAATGTCTTTTATACTTCTTTACACTCAGGAATTTTTTAGAATTTTTTGAAGTGGTGGAACAATAGGGAGAAATAGTGCTTGTTTCTCTCTACAATTTCCTGTCTCACAATGTACCGTTTGTGTCCGGGAAGGGTTTATAGTTTCATAGTTGTCGATTTTCGAAAGAAATCAGTACATGTATATTATTTCGTATATTTTCATTTTATGAAAAGCACTGTTCATTAAAATGTTGTATCCTATGTTATAGGGCTTGCTTCTCTCTACAATTTCCTGTCTCACAATGTACCGTTTGTGTCCAGGAAGGGTTTATAGTTTCATAGTTGTCGATTTTCGAAAGAAATCAGTACATGTATATTATTTCGTATATTTTCATTTTATGAAAAGCACTGTTCATTAAAATGTTGTATCCTATGTTATAGGGCTTGCTTCTCTCTACAATTTCCTGTCTCACAATGTACCGTTTGTGTCCAGGAAGGGTTTATAGTTTCATAGTTGTCGATTTTCGAAAGAAATCAGTACATGTATATTATTTCGTATATTTTCATTTTATGAAAAGCACTGTTCATTAAAATGTTGTATCCTATGTTATAGGGCTTGCTTCTCTCTACAATTTCCTGTCTCACAATGTACCGTTTGTGTCCGGGAAGGATTTACAGTTTCATAGTTGTCGATTTTCGAAAGAAATCAGTACATGTATATTATTTCGTATATTTTCATTTTATGAAAAGCACTGTTCATTAAAATGTTGTATCCTATGTTATAGGGCTTGCTTCTCTCTACGATTTCCTGTCTCACAATGTACCGTTTGTGTCCGGGAAGGATTTACAGTTTCATAGTTGTCGATTTTCGAAAGAAATCAGTACATGTATATTATTTCGTATATTTTCATTTTATGAAAAGCACTGTTCATTAAAATGTTGTATCCTATGTTATAGGGCTTGCTTCTCTCTACAATTTCCTGTCTCACAATGTACCGTTTGTGTCCGGGAAGGGTTTATAGTTTCATAGTTGTCGATTTTCGAAAGAAATCAGTACATGTATAATATTTCGTATATTTTCATTTTATGAAAAGCACTGTTCATTAAAATGTTGTATCCTATGTTATAGGGCTTGCTTCTCTCTACAATTTCCTGTCTCACAATGTACCGTTTGTGTCCGGGAAGGATTTATAGTTTCATAGTTGTCGATTTTCGAAAGAAATCAGTACATGTATATTATTTCGTATATTTTCATTTTATGAAAAGCACTGTTCATTAAAATGTTGTATCCTATGTTATAGGGCTTGCTTCTCTCTACAATGTCCTGTCTCACAATGTACCGTTTGTGTCCGGGAAGGATTTATAGTTTCATAGTTGTCGATTTTCGAAAGAAATCAGTACATGTATATTATTTCGTATATTTTCATTTTATGAAAAGCACTGTTCATTAAAATGTTGTATCGTATGTTATAGGAAGGATTCAAGATCGTTACCACTTTTCCTCTTGCGTCTCGTGTTACTGCCTTGAATTCTACTTACTCCCAGCGCGCGAAAAGAAATTTCACTTCAAAAACTTTAGAGCAGAAGAAATTTCAGCAATAGGCATAGAGTAAAGCTTAAACAGAAATGTTGTATCTATGCTTACTGTGACGTAGTTTTTAGTGGCGATAAAAGTTAAGATGTATTGTAAAATAAATTACAGACTGATTTTGTTATTGATACCTGACTTATTTTTAAAATAATCTACGTCTTATTTCAACTGATAGCTCGAGATTATTAAAAATTAATATTGAATAAATAATATGAAACCAATATCGAGAAAAATTGTATATGTAAGTAATTATTAACAATATAATTTTAAAAAGTATTTTTATTAATTTTGATAATTTAAATTTGGCCGAGTATTTTTCGATCACCCTCTATAACAATACTGATCTATCTTAATCAAAGATGACAAAAATCACAATTTTCATAATACGCATTTAAATTTATTAATTTATAGTAGGCCCTGTAAAACAATATGGCGTGACAGATCGGCAAATAAATTTTGTTTTATCTCTTGTCATTTTCGTATTAATGGAACGGTATAAATTAAACGATATTGTTGATTAAAATTGACGAACATTTAATTTGATTACCTCCAACCAGGTAAAAAAACGTAACCGTCTATTCATTCATTTTTGACATTCCGAAAATGACCGAAGTTTCTTTTGACAAAATGACACATTCTCGCTACATCTTCGTTGAAGAAAAATGTAAAAAACATCGAATTTTCTCCAAATTTCAAGTGCATCCCACCACATGAGAGCTTCGGGAGAGTTCCAGAGTTTCCAAGCTCCACAGGTTGATGTTTTGTGTAAAATGTTTCTGGAAATGTATCGTTTTTGTTAAAGGTGTTAGAACCTCCTGCCGAATACCTCCAAGAGGAGTCCCTCAACGATGATCGCATGCCACCAGATGTCCTGTACATGCTTCAAAGCATTAGAGTGTTTGGTCATTTCGAAAAACCCGTGTTCCTGAAGCTTTGCAAGCATACGGAGATCATAAACGTTTCGGCCGGTAGCCATTTGTTTAAGATAGGTAAGTAGTAACGTTTTTCGTTTACTTTTTTAGGGTTCCGTACCCAAAGGGTAAGAACGGGAACCCTATTACTAAGACTTCGCTATCCGTCCATCTGTCACAAAGGTCTATCTTATGAACCGTTATAGCTAGACAGTTGAAATTTTTACAGATAATGTATCTATGATGCCGCTATAAGAACAAATACTAAAAACAGAATTAAATAAATGTTTATAAATAAAAAAGTACTTTCACTAAACATCTTTTAAGTAAGAATTTTACGTAGAATCTTTCAAGTCCTCGGTGGCCGCGTGGTTTAAAGCGTTAGGACTTTACGCTGCTATGACGTTGGAGCCGTAGTAAGTCAGGTTCGAATCCTAGTCAAGGCGACTTTTTTTAATCTTCTTTTTAGTCTTCAATATATTCGAGATAAATTTCTTTTCTTCGTCTTCCTGGCAATCGATTCGAAAATCGATTTTAAGATGTTTTTTCGTATACTTGTTTGGTTTCTCTACATATTTTTTGTCATTTTTTTGTAAATAAAATTTAAATCTAAATACGACATTTGACCCTATCGGTTTTTTAGGTGATCCTGATGAAAACTTCTACATTGTTCAGAGTGGGAAATTAAATGTTTTTATAAACACTAGCGATGGAACGACTTCTTTAAAAATAGTGAAACCTGGAGAAAGTGTCACGTCTTTGCTTAGCTTTACTGATGTTTTGACTGTAAGTAAAAATAAACATATAACTTTATTGCCTAATAGGTATTTACCCATACACAAGACAATTTAGACATAATAATATCAAATACAGTAATAATTAATAAAATATAAAAAAAATACAGAAAAAAAAGTATATATATTTATATTTTGTGAATTTGTTGCCTGAATTATTTGGTATTTTTTGGATTTAATCCAGCTTATATAAGTTCATATTTATCCAGGGTCATCTGAGTCCCTACAAAACTATTTCTGCAAAAGCCATCGAGGATTCCACAGTCGTGAAGCTCCCGATGACCGCTTTCCAGGACATATTCCAGGAATATCCAGAAACAGTATTCAGAGTTATACAGGTTATCATGGTCAGGCTTCAGAGGGTCACTTTCACAGCCCTCCACCATTATTTGGGGCTCAGTGCCGAGCTTATTAAACAAGTAAGTGATTTATGATATCTTAAAAAATACCTTTCTTAAAACACTAAATCACCACAATACACCAAACGTTTATATACTCGGCCAGTGGGTACCGAGTGGGCGTGGCAAGATCTAGCCAACCGAGTGTAACAGTTAGATTTCCGCCACTGGAGTAGTAGAAACAAAGAACTTGAAGGAATTGGACCGTTGTCTCTGTTCATACTATCTTTACATTTATTAATTCTGATGCTTTCATATGCATCTAATTGCCTGTAATTTGAGACTTGATTAATTAATTTTAAATTATTCAGATCTATACAATGTTCTTTATCAACAATATGTTCAGCAACGCAAGATTTATCCGGTCTACCATATCCTTATCTGAGCTAAATGTTCTTTAAATCTAGTTAATATTGATCGTCTAGTTTGCCCAACATATTTCTGATTACAATCTTTACAAGAAATTTCATAAATACCCGACCTTTCCAGTGGAGGTGTTTATCCTTTGGATTACCTAATAATTGTTGTAATTTATTATTAGCACTATACACAAGTTTATAATTGGCATTCTTAAAAATTCATTTTAGACCACGGGATAACTCTCTTTCAAACGGTATTGAAAAATATTTTGACGTATCTTTCTCCATTTGAAACGTCGAATTTTTAGAAATAAAAAACTTATACATGGTTAGCAAAACGCGCGCCCAGTGTAAAAGTAAAAGTTTTTTTTGGTGTATTGTGGTGATTTAGTGTTTTATTTTTCTGTGTAACACCAAAAGGTTCCAACCCCCAAATGTATTACCTTTCTTAAAAACTTTGGTATTACTATCCAAAAATATCCTTATGGGTTTTTCGCCACTGCACTGCAAGAAAAATCTACAAAATAAAATAGTTATTTTTTGTAAACACTTCTGCGTTAAACCTAAACGGACGCTGCTTGTCAGAAGTTGTGTTTACAGTAATAAAAATTTGCCTAATAAAGAAAAAAATGCTTAACGTTTCGGAAAGTTTTCTCTTTCCGTCGTCGGAAGCAAAAAAATATAAAGAATCAAGAAAAAAACTATTTAAAATATTTAAATTGAACTATTCGAGAATACTTTACTTTTTAAAACAGATACGTCTATAAGAAATCGTTGACGTTCTGTTAAAATGACATTATATTAAGTTAAACTTCAAAATTAACAATTACTACCTGATAATTACTTAATAAGGTAAAACCAAAAAGCCCAAACTTTCTGTATGATTATTTTTAAATTTTACGTATGGTATGTTTATTTATGTAATGTTCTTTAAAATCAAAGAAGCGATTGCCATACATTACTAACATCTACAGATGCATACATTTATTTTTATTAGATTGAATTAAAAAAGCCTCTTTTATTTTTCTTTTAGAGGCTATCGCTTCTTTCATTATAATTTTGGCGTTATTAAAATTTATTCTGTGCCTTGTGTCCCATGAATGCTGACAAATCTTAGATTTGTGAAAATCTCCCTTTCTTAAATAATCTTTATGTTCTTTAATTCTAACGTTTAAGGGTCTAGATGTTTCACCAATGTAAAATTTATCGCATTCACAGGGTATTTGGTATATTACATTTTATTTTTTTATTTTTTATTTTTGGATAGATGAATCCGCCACATAGGTATAGACATTTTTTGGTATTACTGTTTAACTAAAAAGTATTTTTCATCATGTATTATTGTATCATCGTTATTTTTAATCATGTATTATTGTATATTTTCATCATGTATTATTGTATCATCATGTAAGTATTTTTCACCTGTAACATAACTGTATTATTTTTTTAGTCGCCTAAACAAAAAGGTCAACTGTTTTTTTCACCAGTAAAAAGGAGAGAAAAGGACGGCACTATACCTACGTCAGGAGGTGGGTATATAGACCTGACCATCTTAAATTTGTTGTCTGGATTTTAAGCGTAAGATAATGATGGACATATTTAGAGTAAGAGAATTCAAACATGCTAGAAAGAGGTAAAAAGTATGATATATTTTTTCTATGTTGCCGAATTTTGCATCACACTCGTGAAAACCGGCAACCCTGCATTTATTTATGTCTCTTCAAGTTATTAATCCTTGTCTTACTCATTAAAATACAGAACACAGATTTGGAATGGCTAGATCAGTATGTTACTTCTATAATACCCTTGTATATGAATTTTTAAAGTAGCTCAACCTAAGACGTTTATGGATGTAAAGCACCAGATGGCGGGGCGTATTTCACAGTCTTTTACTACAGAAAAATATTTTTTGTTACTCTGAATTTTGAAGCGACCAATAAAAACAGAGAAAATAAAAATCGATAATTTTCGGACCGTGCCAATTGGTTACCAATCGACCAGATACTTTTTGTCTATTAGATATGCTATAAAAGCTGGTAATTATACAATTCGACCATTGTAAATACCCGACAAATTCCGCAAGGCCGACGAGGCCGATGCTTTTCACTGATACGAAAAAAAAATGTTTGTTTGGATAATTTTCGAGATATTTTTTCTTTCTGAATGCACATTTTTAAAGTATTTTATATTCTTTGTCCGCTTGATCTATTTATACTGATCCTGTGTACTGATCGCTCGTATCGAAGTTCTGTTTCTTCTAGTTTTAAAAGATGTTCTTATTTCTTTATAGTTGTAGTGGTTGTAGTGTAAAATTAGATTAATTTTATTAAGTTTAATTATAATGTTTAGTGTAGAATACCAGAAATAGTTTAGTAGTGTTTTTATAGTTTATTTATTTTGTAGTTAAGTAGTAGGTGAAGGATAATTTGGTTATTTTTTCTTTTTGTTTGATTAATTAGTAAGTTTATAATTTTTTCAGTGTAAAATACAAGAAGTAGTTGTGTAGTGTTTTTATAAGAGATTATATTCGTTTATTTTGTAGATGTGTAGTAGGTGAAGGTATTTGGGTATTTTTTCTTTTTGTTTTTCTTCTAATTGTAGTAATTGTATTAAGTATTGTGATAAATACGCTATATATATTCCTTCAACTTCGTTGAAAAGTGCGTTATCATATAATTTTGGTTTTCTGGTAGTAGAATATACGAAAAAAAAAATCTGATCAAATTTATTTAAAATTAAATCAATCGAGTCTTATTAATCAAATTAATCTAGTCAAATAAAAATAATAGTTAGTTTCTAAATACTATACAGGATGAGTTTCCTACGATGTTCTCTATGGGTATCTCGGAAACTACTGGAGATAGAGAGTCGGTTAAATGGGGAAAGAATTGCAGTTTTGTGGGGTCATAAATATGCGCCTTTCGGATTTCTCGGAGAAGTTCAAGGCTTACTAGATATTTCGAAAAACACAAATTTTGGCTATTTTAAAACTTGTCTCTAATTCCATTATAATCTGCCGTATGATCGAATAAAAACGGCGTCAACGATGGCTATGAAATGAAGATCGTTGTCATTTTATATGTAAAATTATATGAGAAATATCATCGATCGTCATTTCATAGCCATCGCTGACGCCGTTTTTATTCGATCATATGGTATTTTAGACAAAAAGTTTTCAGATAAAAGTTGTAGATAATCACATACCTAATGAGTTTGTGTTTTCTGTTTTTTTTTCTAAAGCCTGTCATTTTTGAGATATGACACAAACATTATGTTTTTTTTTTTAAATGGAAATCCTAGTTGACCATGACTTAATAAAAAACGCCATTCTTTAAGCTTTTCAGCGATATAGGTATAATATGTTTTTTTTCGAAAAATTACAAGTTATAGCCAATTCTTTTCTTTCTTGGCTAATTCCCATACCAATAATACCATGCCAATTAGTTGGCATCAAAAATGTAAAAAGTTTTATGTTTTCAAAAAAAAATATCGTAAAATTCGTAAAGCACTCAATTTAGAATAAAATAATCCAAGAATGAAATGATTCTTTTATAAACCTGCATTAAATCAAATTAAAATAGGTATGTAACTTTTTTTTTAAATATTAATTAACAGCAATTAGCATTATCATAAATTATAAATAATGTACCAACATATCGAAATAATAATTTCTTTGTTAATACGGTTTAGAATTCTTAAAATAACAGGCAAAAATAATCCACAATTTACAATAAAATAAAAGTTTCGTTTAAATTTCTTAATCAGCTGATCATTATTAAAGTTCGCAGAAACCCGGGGCTATATTATTACCTTACTCTGATGAAAATAACGAAAATAATCGATATTTTTGACTCCGCCCCGAAAGGTTCACGATTTGTCCTCCAGTTGGCAGCACATTTTGTCTAGTCGGTTGAACAACTTTAAGAATATATAAACAAGGATAATACTTAATATATTTATAGAGTATACCAAATAAACTTTTAGTCACGTGATTAAGCTTAACCGGCACAGCGTTGCCGACTTTTACCTATTTTCTTTTAATCAAAATATTTTAGGAAACAAAAATGAATTTATTCATCGAATTATGAATCGCCAGCGGGAAATTTAAATTCTAGTTAGTCAGCCCGGCGCCGAATATACTCGTGGTTGGCAACAATGAATTTATTAATCGCACCCTCGATGACGTAGCTAAACGTTTATTTGGTATCGCTTATAGTTACCTAGTCTTACGTTGAATATTTTTGAAGATTCAAGCACTACTCAGACCGCAACCATTGCTCAAAGCCAAGGCCACAGGAGATCAAAGTCTAGTCAAGATTCAAAAACCATTTCGCCTGTTTCGTATACTAACACAAATGCTCCGGATATGCTGGCTGACCTAGATGGACCTATGGCAAATGTCAGTAGTACTTTTCTTTCAGTAATAGAGAGTTTGTCAAAATATCTGTCTATGTTGCAGGTAATTGATACAACGAAGAAAAGGCATTCGGTACCGGACGATGCGTCTGAAGAAGAGTTAAAGAAGATTGCTGAGGAGGCTTTTATAATTGAACTGGGTCTAAGTCAGAACGACCACGTGGACATTCAGGTCGAAATAAGAGAGGTTTCTGCAGGTACCTACTTGATGAAAGAAGACTCTAATAAGGTAATTTTTAGGGTTCCGTACCCAAAGGGTAAAAACGGGAACCCTATTACTAAGACTTCGCTGTCCGTCTGTCACAAAGGTCTATCTTATGAACCGTTATAGCTAGACAGTTGAAATTTTTACAGATAATGTATCTATGTTGCCGCTATAAGAAACAAATACTAAAAACAGAATTAAATAAATGTTTATAAATAAAAAAGTTCTTTTACTAAACATTATCTTTTAAGTAAGAATTTTACATAGAATCTTTCAAGTCCTCGGTGGCCGCGTGGTTAAAACGTTAGGACTTTACGCTGCTATGACGTTGGAGCCGTAGTAAGGCAGGTTCGAATCCTAGTCAAGGCGACTTTTTTTTAATCGCTTTTTTTTAAATTTTTACATATTTATTTTTACTTTTTACATATTTGTTATTGATTAATACAATTTTTAGTAATGTGTTTCATCATTTTTTTAAATTACTTATACGCGCATTCAAAATTTCAGCTGAATCGGAAAAAATAGTTTATAATAATATAGTGTCTAATGTTGTATAGATAATGAATGGTACGGAACCCTTCGTGCGCGAGTCCGACTCGCACTTGATCAATTTTTACTTATGTTTGGTCAGTGGCAAAATAAAACACTAATCCACCACAATACACCAAAACAATTTACCTTTAAACACTGAAGATTACATCTAAAATAATATTTACTATGGTAATCGCAAAATATTTTCCGATGCACGTCATCAATCATATCAAAATTGACACTAAAGCCTACAAACTTGGCTAAATGAAATTTTGCCAAAAGTGTTTAAATTTGTTGTATAATTTAAGATACCGAGCAATCCTTCCTTTCATTTCATAGAGCAAATGATTGCAACAGATATTTTATTTAGATTAAAGCTGCAAAAATTTCAGAACGGTTCTGGAACCGTTCTGAAATCATTAGTTTTACCATAGTCTTATCCGCATGCGTTAACTTGGCACTGTTTTTGAACGATTCTAGATTTACAATCGGTTGGAATAGTTTCGGAACCGTTTTTAATCTGTCTTGTCAAAACACCGGTTAAAATAACCTCACTTTTTGTTTGATGTAAGATGTAAACAAAACAAACCTTAATAATATTCTTCACAGATATTCTTATTAATTGTATAGAACAGTGGAAACTGTAAAAAGTGGTAAATTACTACCTACATTAATAAATAATGAACACAAACCATAATTTTGGTAAGTTTCACTTGGTTTACTATTCGTTCTTTTTTGTTGAAAAGTGTGAACTGTAAAATGTTAAACCCTAGCTAAATTAAATAGACAATTTCTAAGTATAGAAAGAATTCTAAACACTAAAACCCATTGAACTCCAAACAAATTCACAAAACAAAACAAGCAAACGCCCTGGCCCAAATGTCAATCAGGTAATAAAATTTACTAACTGCGCATGTCAGTAAAAACAGTTCGCACTCACTGGCAAGTATCGAAATCACGGTTCCAAAACCGTTCTAATAACGATCAGAAAATTGGTTGGAACGCAAAGAGAATCGTTCGAGAACTATCCCCATCAAGGTTGGAACGCTTTTAGCCCTATGCGCATGAACGGAATCGTTCCTGAATGGTTCTCAGAGGGGTTGTGGAACAAACCTATTGTATATAATATCGTATTGTTGTTGAATCTTTGGGAGTAATTCTCGTTTTTTGCCGATTTTCATGGTCTTTTTTCAAAAATTGTACTTTTAAGCACAAACAGTTCTTTTAAGAACTAAATTTTCGATTTTTTCTACTGCATTTCTGAAATCGTGTGTCGAAAATATGCCGAAGCATATAAACAGTCGAAACAAAGAGCTTGTATCTTTCCTGATAAACTATTTTGAACGGAACAATAAAGGTCCTTTATACTCTTGACTGTTGTCAGAGAAATAAGTTTGATTGGTAAGCATATTATACCACTTTCAAAGTTATTTCTACTTATTTCGATTTGTAGCCAGTAGCTACCGCCTTAAATTTAAATATTGCTACTGTGACTGTTAGTGACTAATGTTGATAAATAAATTAATTACTAAAATCTTTAAAAAATCATATAATAAATATATTATTGCCCAATTTTACATTAAGATTCATCTCATAAATTTATCACAATCTGGCAGCGCTGCCGCCATCGCTGCTCACTCAAAATTGATCACGTGTATCGGAAATTGTTTTGCGATTACTTTATCGACAAATTGAGCGTTTATACATGCGTCGAAATGATTATTGAGATTATTTATTTTTAAAAAAAAACTTTTATGGCGATTTTTCGGACACTGTATATGATTTCTCTATACAGGATGTTGCCTTAGTCTATATAATCTCCGGTGCTTTGACGGTCACTCAGAAATTAGCCGAAACTGAATCCGAAGTATACATGTTTACCTCTTACCCTGGCGAAATTGTTGGTGGACTGGCCATGTTGACTGGGGAACCGAGTTTTTTCACCATAAGGGCCAAACATCTAACTAGAATAGCCTTGCTCTCTAAAACGATCTTTTACAGGTAACTATTTCATACTTTTTTGTTACAGTTAATTTGTAATCTTTTATTTCAGTATTATTAAGGAAAATCCGAAAGTTGTGCTCTATGTAGCCAACATGGTAGTTAGAAGGCTGTCTCCTTTTGTCAGACAGGTTGATTTCGCTTTGGATTGGCTTTTTATAGAGTCAGGTTAGTATAAGAGATATTTGAACATATATTAGTCTATCGAACGACTAAATCCTTGACAGTGATAGATGCATCTGTCAATTTAATTTCAAAGTAGTTTATTTTATTCTATAAGGAAATAAGTTGGTACAATTGGAACGCACAGCAGGAAATTAAAGAAAAAATTATTAAATAAATTAGTCAGTTAAAAAATATGTAGTTGGCGCTCTCTACAAGTAGGAGTCATATGGACATCAAAATCAGATTTCTCATGTCAAAAAACTCCCAGACACCAATTTTCATCCAAATATTGGCGTTACTTCATAAATTATTTGGAAAAAATCGAAATAAAAATGAAACTTCTACACCCTGTATCTCCGAAACAGCATTTTAGGACATACGAACTTTTTTACTTATTTTTATTTTTACTTAAGTTTTTGACTTAAGTTTCCGGAATACAGTTCGGACCACCCTGTATATTACTGAGTTGATTATACTCTGTTTTTTTTCTCAGGTAAGATTTCGACAGACGATGTCAGAAGAAAAGCAGATGACCTCCCATACCAATCTATTTATTTTACTAAAAAAAGTTTCTAATAATTTTTAAGTTAACTATGGATGAGTTTAAATATAAATTAGTCATGCGTCGTCACTTGTTGTTTTTAACCAGTTTTATTGGTTTATTTCAAAAAAGACAGATCGTATTTCAATTTTATTGGTTTGACGGAACGATGAACGACAAACGGACGCCGATGCGTATGAACCCGCCTTTAGATTTTTGACGTTTGTCAAAGTCTTGCCAAATTATAGGTTATAATTTTGTGACAACTTTTGTCAAATACCCTGCGTTTTGGAATGATGCATTTTGATTCGTGTTATTACGTGTGTTTTGTGTCTTTTGAAGTCAAGTGGAGGAAAAATTGAGTGAAAATTAACTGTAGAACCCAGAGCACAGTTTATGGTTAATACTCGCTGCCCAGGCAGAAAGTCTTATACATATACACCAATAAAGTTACTATCAATAAAGTTCGTATACCATCTCGTCGCAGATAAGTGCATCTCGAATATGGTAGAAGGACCATACTAAACACATACTAAAAACTGAGTAGCTGTAAAATATCGACATCACACGATAGGTAAATAATGGATTTGAGTACTGCAGAAAAATAATGTCAAAAGGTACTGGTTTAAAAAAAAATTAAGATTAAAGTTAATTAATCAACCTGTGAGGTATAAAATTTGGTAAGTGTTATTATTAATAAAATAGTTTGTTTTATTTGTGTTGTTTTATTTATTCCTGCGGAATATTACAAATTTGTATTTGTACATAAGTTATATTATTGATAAATATAATCATAAATGTGGGAAGTTTCATAAAGCCTGAAAGTAAGAAATAGTTCTTTTTTATATGTTTTGGTATGTGGTGTCTTGTTTTTGTTTGTTTTGTATTAACACATACCGTTTTTTATTAAATAAAATAACTCGATTACGTTTTTTCAGTTTTATACAGTTTTTTTCACAATATTTTGAAGTTACTTGTCAGTCAAATTTTAAATACATATATTAATTTCCTGCTATGCGTTCCACTTGTACCAACTTATTTCTTTGAAAAATAAAATAAACTACTTTGAAATTAAAATGACAGACACATCTATCACTGTCAAGGATCTTCTCGTTGGACAGACTATAGTATCTGTTTTGTAATTAATAGCAAGTTGTTTTTTCCTTCTTATATGGTACATTTCAAGAAATAGCCTATTTTTGTAGTCATGTTCCGCTGTCTTCTTTTATACAGGGTGATTTTTAACCTATTCGGATCAAGTAAACAAAAAACGTAAATTCCATTAAATTGAATGTGCATTTACTGATAAAGTTGATAAATTTTTGTGAAAAAAAACTCAAATTATTTCAGAATCTAAAAATACTTTACTAACATTTTTTTTTTCATTATTTGTCATCCGCAATAATTTCCCAAGTTTATGCGTATAGGTTAAAAATCACCCTGTATGATACGATTTTTCAAAATTTAGGTCGAGCAGTATACAGACAAGATGACGAGAGCGAATGCACCTACATAGTCCTATCCGGCCGTCTGCGATCGGTAATCAACTACAAGGACGGCAAAAAAGAACTCGTTGGCGAGTACGGCAAGGGCGATCTTGTAGGCGTGGTCGAGATGGTCACCCAAACCAAACGCAGCACCACCGTGATCGCTGTGCGCGACTCCGAGCTGGCCAAACTTCCCGAAGGCCTCTTCAACGTCATCAAATTGAAGTTCCCCATCGTGGTAACGAGACTGATCAATTTACTGGGTCACCGGATCCTGGGTTCGTGGCAGAAATCGACGGGTAGGAGTAGAGGTTCGGCCGTGGACAGTAGGCCGTCGCAGATAAATTTCTCTACGGTGGCCATAATTGCTGTTTCGGATGATGTGCCTTTGACTGGGTTCACGTACGAGCTGTACCACTGTCTCACGGCAATAGGTAAGTCTAAACCTTTGAATAAGAAGACTAAGGAAGGAGCATATGAAAAATCTTAGGTCCACCGCGATGGGCCTCAAATATGGCCTACTTAAATTCCAGTTTATCAGTGCCGTTCTAATTTTGTTTAAAAAATGTAAAACTATGATGTAGGGTAGACGTGGGGTAGACTCAATAATTTTTTTTTATTTTACGTTGTGAATAAATGTTGGTAGTTATTAAAATTGTTATAAAAATATAAAATTCTAATAAAAATAGATAAGTTATAATAATTATTTATAATCATAAACATCCGATACGCTACTGAAGCAGGTAAGTCAAATTGACGTATCTAAATTCTTTGACAAGTAGTAAATAACAGCAAAAATGCAAGAAAAAATATATAATTAGTTAATTTAAGTGAATTTCATAAATGATCGGTTTAGAACACGTATGTACTATATATTATATAGTCCCTTACTAGCGAAAAGTTGTTCCATTATTTCACTCGATTTTTCCCAAGATCTACCGCACGCTACACAACCAACTATTTTAGAGTCTTTTTCGATAAATCGCGATAGTGTCACTGTTAATTTAAGTTCTGCCACAATTTCCATCTAGATTTACTACCTTTATACAACTATCAGTAGTAGAATAAATAATAAATAACATAATAAGCTCCGTAAAGACTGACAAATCCACAAAATTTTAAATCAAATTCAAATGTGTCAAATGAATCGTCAAACAGAACTGTCAAGGATCCCCACCCTAGAGTCCTTTTTCCGCCCACCATGCATGAATACATGGATACCATTATGCTTCTTCCTTAGTCTTCTTATTCAAAGGTCTAAACCAAAGACATCTAAATAAAGGGAGACAATCTATAATCGATGCCAAATAAACTTTTAGTTACGTCATCGCGGACGCGATTATTAAATTCATTGTTGCCACCTATGGACATACGGTGATCACAAAACATTTTCTGTTGCACGTCATCAATCGTATCGAAAAAATTCACACTAAAGCCTATAAACCTGACAAAATGAAATTTGTTGTATAATTTAAGATACCCAGCAGCTCTTTATTTTACTTTATAGAGCAAATGGTTGTAACAGTTATTTTATTTATATTAAAGCATAATGTCAGTCAGTACTTTGTATAATATCGTGTTGTTGTTGAATCTTTGGGAGTAATTCTCGTTTTTTTGCCGATTTTCATAGTCTTTTTTTAAAAATTGTACTTTTAAGCACAGGCAGTTCTTTCAAGAACTAAATTTTACATTTTTTGTATTGCATTTCTTGAAACTATGTGTTGAAAATATGGCGAAGGATTTAAACAGTCGAAGCAAAGATCTTGCAGCTTTCCTGATAAACTATTTTGAACGAGAACGTGACAATAAAAGTTGTTTCTACGTTGTTGAATTTAACAAAAACTAATTAAATTCTGTGATTATTAGTTTGTGCATTAATAGCACCCTCTTACTTGTTATAACCACTTATGGCGTTGTAAGATGTACGTCAATAAATAAATAAATGACCCATAATAACGCTTAGAATAATCTACATAATGGACTAGTTTTTGCCAATATGTAATAAGTAAAATAAGCTATAAAACAAATAAATCATTTAATTACTAAAATGTTAGTTATTAAATTAAAAATAAAACGTAAAAATCTTTAAAAACTAATATAATAAATATATTGTTTGTCAATTTTAAATTCAAATTCATCTCATAAATCCATCACAATCTGGCAGCGGTGTCGCCATCGCGTGTCATTCAAAGTTGATCACGTGCATCGGAAATTGTTTTGCGATTGCCGTATATTTACATTTTATCGCGATCAAACATCGTTTTCAACACGAAGCGATGATGACAAATTTCTGCGGATTGCGTTAGATCTTCGGCTTGTGTTTGAAAACGAAATATGTTATTATTGTTATTAATTTTTTTTGAGTACGAATGAATGGTGCGATTTAACGCTTAAATCACATTAGGTTCGACTACAAGACTGACTTCGGATGTAATAAAGAAGACTCTTGGCGGTACCATCATGGACCCCAATAACGAGTACAGGCTGTCTTCGTGGCTGGCCCAGCAAGAAGACCAGCACAAAATATCGTTGTACCAGTGCGATTTGACAGTGTCAGCCTGGACTAAACGATGTATCAGACAAGCCGATTGTATCCTCATTGTTGGACTAGGCGATAATCCACCATCTTTAGGTAAGATATTTTTAAAAAAACGACGTTTATTTTAAATAAAATAATGTAAAAAATGTCTATAGTCTGTTCAACGAGAAGATCCTCGACAGTGATAGATGTGTCTGTCATTTTAATTTCAAAGTTGTTTATTTTATTTTACAAAGAAATAAGTTGGTACAACTGGAACGCATAGCAGGAAATTAATATATGTATTTAAAATTTGACTGACAAGTAACTTCAAAATATTGTGAATAAAACTGCATAAAACTGAAAAAATGTAATCGAGTTATTTTATTTAATAAAAAACGGTATGTGTTAATACAAAACAAACAAAAACAAGACACTACATACCAAAAAAATATAAAAAAGAACTATTTTTTACTTTCAAGCTTTATGAAACTACCCGCATTTATGATTATATTTATCAATATAACTTATGTACACATACAAATTTATATTCCGCAGGAATAAATAAAACAAACTATTTTATTAATAATAACACTTACCAAATTTTATACCTCACAGGTTGATTAATTAACTTTAATCTTATTTTTTTTAAACCAGTACCTTTTGACATTATTTTTCTGCATTACTAAAATCCATTATTTACCTATCGTGTGATGTCCATATTTTACAGCTACTCCAGTTTTTAGTATGGGTTTAGTATGGTCCTTCTACCATATTCGAGATACACTTATCTACGACGAGATGGTATACGAACTTTATTGATAGTAACTTTATTGGTGTATCTGTATAAGACTTTCTGCCTGGGCAGCGGGTATGAACCATAAACTGTGCTCTGGGTTCTACAGTTACTTTCACTCGATTTTTCCTCTACTTGACTTCAAAAGACACAAAACACACGTAATAACACGAATCAAAATGCATCATCTTCCAAAACGCAGGGTATTTGACAAAAGTTGTCACAAAATTATAACCTCTAATTTGGCAAGACTTTGACAAACGTCGAAAATCTAATGGCGAGTTCATACGCATCGGCGTCCGTTTGTCGTTCATCGTTCCTTCAAACCAATAAAATTGAAATACGATCTGTCATTTTTGAAATAAACCAATAAAACTGGTTAAAAACAACAAGTGACGACGCATGACGAATTTATATTTAAACCCATCCATAGTTAACTTAAAAATTGTTAGAAACTTTTTTTAGTAAAATAAATAGATTGGTATGGGACGTCATCTGCTTTTCTTCTGTCATCGTCTGTCGAAATCTTACCTTAAAAAAAAAACAGAGTACATATCTATGTGGCGGATTCATCTTTCCAAAAAAATTCTTTATGGGTATTTCGCCACTGCACTGCAAGAAAATCTACAAAATAAAATAGTTATTTTTTGTAAACACTTCTGCGTTAAACCTAAACGGACACTGCTTGTCAGAAGTTATGTTTACAGTTATACAAATTTGCTTAACAAAGAAAAAATGCTTAACGTTTCGGAAGGTTTATCTCTTTCCGTCGTCGTTGGAAGCAAAGAAATACACGAAGAATACAAGAAAAAAAACTATTTAAAATATTTAAATTCAACTATTCGAGAACACTTTACTTTTTTAAAACAGATACGTCTACAAGAAACCGTTGACCTTCTGTTAAAATGACATTATATCATCTAATATTAGTGGCGAAATACCCATAAAGGATTTTTTTTGGAGAGTAAAATAATGTAGTTACCTAATAGTAAAGTAGAAATTACATTTTATTATTTTTTTATTATATCATTTAGGTAAAGTTGAAAAAGAATTGGAGAGACTAGCTATACGGACACAAAAAGAACTGGTATTACTTCACAAAGAAGGCGGTAAGCCACAGAATACCATCGGTTGGCTCAACATAAGGTCGTGGGTTTCATCTCATCACCATATTTTATGTCCCAACAGGGTGTTCGCCCGAAAAAGCCAATACAGAATTGTAAGTTTGTTTAATACTATAAAAATTATGTTTTTAATGCAATTTTTTTTATTAATAGAATGAATTATATTCAAAAGTATGCGCTACGGATCCTAATGTGCATTCAGATTTTTCAAGACTGGCTAGATGGCTTACTGGTAAGTCAGTGGGTTTGGTCCTAGGAGGAGGCGGAGCTAGAGGATCCTCCCACATAGGCATGATTAAAGCCATACAGGTACTACATACTAATTTTTAATCAAGTGTCATCAAAACAGACAGGTTGTCTATTAACTATTACTTAGGGTGTATTCCGTTGCTTACCTTGGTTATGGTTTTATGTTCCGTTTCTAACGGTTTCCTGAAAGTTTTCTTATTACGGAACACGGTTCCTGAAAAATTCGGTTATAACTGTCACCAAACTAACCAACGCGAGAATAAGGCTGGTTTTTATGGTTTTGTTTGTCAATCAATGTCATTTATGTGACAGAAATCAAGGAAATATTAGAAGTTCAAGTGAAATTCTCATTTAATTTTTAAAATTTGTAATAATATTTTGTATTTACATCCAAAAGCAATGGAGGTAGGCAGTAAAGGTAAATAAATTTCATTAACTAAATAGAATGACTTTTTAGGACCATTTAAACTTCTTATCGTGCAGCCATTGTTTCTTTCAAGTCAGGAACATTTAAAGAAAACATGAAAAACAAGACAAGTGAATGTTTTGTCAGCTATAAAAATATAAATATTGATTAGATTTTTTTATTTATTATTGATCTGTTTTAATATTGGACCTGCAAATCTTCACTTGAGCTGTCTAACGAGTTTAACAGTTTATTATAATAAAGTACTTTTCAATATTAAACTCCATTGAAATGAAGAAGCAAACGTAAAAGCAGAGAATAGGTACATTAAAAATGAATAAAAGATAAATTTTATAATAGAGGTATTGAAATTTAGACGTCAACATTTGACGTTTCCAATATTTTACCAAACCGTTACTGTAGTTTACCGGTCTGGTTCGCCTGGTTTTGCAACGGAATACAGCCTTAGTTGGTAACAGACAAATAAACACTTAAATACATAGAAGAAACACATTTGTCAATTTTTCTTGTTTAATGTCACTTGATTTTATATAAAAAATATTGAATTAAAAGCTTGATTCAATATTTTTTATATAGGTAAAGTTTTATATAGGTAAAGCTCCGTCTATACATAATGTTTTACCTGTCAGGCAAAACGTATCAAGTAAAACACTGTGTGTAGACGAAACAAAAACGTATGTATGCTAAGTAATTTCTAAGCTTTCTTTCTATCTTTTTTTACAAAATTTCTTTCCATATTTTTGCACTTTACATAAAACCAATAATTATAAAACAGACAAGAAAATAGAGCAATAGCATTCGGCTTCTTCCTTATTTTTTCTATTCAGTGGATAAATTATATCGTACGGAATCATTTTAGGAGGCTGGTATACCCATAGATATGATAGGGGGCGTTTCGATCGGTGCTCTGATGGGATCTTTGTGGTGTCAAGAAAGAAACATAACCATAGTCATACAGAAAGCCAGAGAATGGTCCAAGGTACGTATCTAAGATTTTTTACTAGTTGTTTTAGTATAGAGAAATCAATAAAAGTCGAAAATACCGCATGACCGAAAAAAAAACGGCGTCAAAGACGACTGGAGAATGACAATCGATGATTATAGGAAGATTAAAAAAGGATAGAACGTTTCCAGAGACACAAATCTATTTTGAATTTTAAACTACAATCATTTAAAAATTATGTTTACTCAATATAAAAATAAATTACAATCTTTTTTAGGTCAGCTGGCAGTAAGATCCATTAAAAAAATTGTGTGTGCACTGTGTGCGAATATTTGAAGTAAAACTTCCCACTAAGCTACTACCAACATAAATTTTGAATTTATTTCTGTAATCTGTACATTTTCTGTTTCCTCAATAGCCTGCAAATTTTTCAGAATACCACCCAAAACACACACTTTTATGCAAATGTCTAATCATGTTAACGCTTACATTTATTTAAGAAGAGAAAAAAAATTGAACCTAACCAACAATTCGTATTTATAGTGGTTTACAGTGATTGTGTTAAATTATACGAATATTCTCATTGATTATCGGTTTGAAATAAATATGGCAATGTCCTCCAATGAAAATCCGAGTTGCTTAACTCTAATAATTCTATTTCTGAGCTAGCAAATAAGCTAAATGCTTTACCTAGACCGTTATTCAGAAGCTACAAACCTATCGATGAAAATATGCATGGAACTTTACTCCCTAGCACATAACCAGAGGATATTGGTACCCAGGTACAATATAAACTTTATTATAATGCTTTTCTTAGCTTTAAATCAAATGATTTTTGGTGTTTGCGCTATCCTTACCAATTTTTTTCCTGCTAGCTCGTGCGTCAAGACCGTGTCGTTTCGCGGCTTTGAATTTTTACTCTTATCCCGCGTAAAAAAATTTCACTTCAAAAATAAATGAGACTACGGGCGAAGTAAATGACCTCTAGGGCTTGACCTCGCTAAAATTATCATCGATTGTCATTCCCGGGCCGTGTTTGACGCCGTTTTCATTTTCGATCGTATGGTACTTAAAATCCGAGAGGCAAACCGCTGGTGGTATTTATTGTACAAGCACTTGGTAATACTGGTATTCTTTTGGTACTTATGATACTAATTTGGTATTTTTGGTATTATTTCGTATTAAACTGGTATTAAACAGGTATTTTGTTGGACATCTGGCAACGGTGGATGTGGATTAGACGCACGCGGCGACGGCTGGGAAGCTGATTGCATCATTTCTAGCCCATTTGCATTGAAAATGAGCCGCCTTCGCGCTTTTTACACGATCAAAAATTTTTGGTTTGACCAGAGATATAGACATATAGATACAGAGATATAGACATCTCTATATCTCTGGTGTTGACCTCTTTTATATGAAGTATTTTAAAGTTTTTATATTTAGTGTCCAAGGTAACAATAAAACCTACTTAACAATAAAATATACCTCGTAATATACATACTTAAGAATAATTACTTGTGTTTCGAGGTTAGGTTGCTGGCCTATTTGAAAAGTAGGTTATTTTTACCCGATATTAATTGCCAAGCTTGCAATTTTTCAATGCATAAAAATGGTTTTTACGCAAAAACGGTACATAGCGTCATACGAAAAAATGTCAAGAAATTAAAGAACTCGCATCATGGAAACATAATATGTTTTTCATTATTTGTGACAAAAAGAGCAAGAATAGAAAAAAAATGACTACGCCACTCGATTGTGCTTAAAAAAGTGCCTTAAGAACGTTTTTACAGAATTTTTTTATTCCGCAATTTTCAAAGTGGTAAAAAATTTAAAAATATCTTGTATCTCAGTTGGCAGTGAAAATATCAACAGGCGGTTTACGCCATTGAACGTGTCTCAGAAATCGAGCCCATGACATCTATGTCGGTGTTGCTCTATCTAGTCAGGATATAGGTATTCTTTGTTAAAACAGACCAATTTCGACCACCCTGTACACCATTTTTGGAAGCGGTTTGCCCCTCGTTAAAATCGTTACAAAGTTTTCATTGTTGATTTTTTACGTGTCTTTTTAGAAAATGACACAATGGTGGAGACAAATCCTAGATCTGACTTACCCTGTAACCTCAATGTTTAGCGGTAAAGATTTCAACAAGACGATAAGAGGCACATTAGGCGAGACATACATCGAAGACCTGTGGATTCCGTTTTTCACGATCACCACAGACATAACAGCCTCCTGTATGAGAATCCATACTCACGGTAAGTTAACTATTTGTGTATATAAAAAACTGTATTTATATAATCTAAAGTTATAATAATACTGTTACTTTTGTGTCACTAGGTATGGTTGTTTTTTGTTTAATTTAAATATATATTATACACTGTTTTTTTATGGAGTATAACAATACAAAGTTGTCCATATTTAGGACCCTTTTTGTCACGTGACATATCCCGATGTGATTGGTTTGCCAGTATTTTTTTTTTTGATTTCAGCATTTTAACGGAATGATGCATAGATATTTGCATTTTGTGGGGTTAGTTTTTTTTTGTAAATTGTACATAATTTTTGTGTTTAATATTTTTTAATCAGTGGGTATAGTTAGTAGCACGTTTATAATCCCTTTTTTCTTTAACATGTTCCTGTATATCCCTGTACCTAGTTGCACAAGATTTTAGTAACACTGTGTGTTTGCATGGACTGACATTTTTTTAACTCAATATCTGTATCTATGTGTTATGTTAATTTTCTGTACTTGTGTTTTAACCTGCATTGCATTTGTATAGAATTTTACGAACGTTTACTTTCATTATTACTAACTTTTAAACAGGGTGTCCCAAATTAGCGTTTCAATAAAAAGGAACTCGAAATATTTTATTCTTAGATTATTGCATCGAACACTTGAAAAAAAAAGTTATACATCTTTCTGTAATACTGGGTTAAAAAAGTTGTTTACTTTTGAGTTGTTTATTTGTGAAAATTAAAGTAAGAAGGCAAAAACGTAAAGTTTTACCTTCTTTTTTGTCTCTCAGTTAAAACTGAGGGCTGTAATTATAATTAAACAAATAAAAAAACATATAGAATTGTAAAATTTTACATTGAGAATTCCAATTTTTTTATTTTTTTTCCTTTAAAATCAATTTTGTTTAAAATGGGCCACCCTGATCTTACTTCAAACAGAGAACCTTAATGACTTTTCAGTTATAAAATCAAAAAGAAAAGGCGTCATGGTAGATTTTGCAACAATGTTTTCTAAATGTTGTGGAAAATAATTTTTAAAAAAGTTATTATTTTATTAAATTATTAATATTAGTTACGGATTTACTTGTGTTTATCAGTGACCGAAAACAATTGAATACTTCAATCAATCCTGATTTATGTCATATACTAACATACAAAATCTGATTTTTTAACCGAATAAATAAAAAATTTATAGGGGTGAGCCACTTTTAAGACGCACCCGGTATAACAAATTTGTTTCACCGGAAATGACTACCACATATTTTTAAATGGTACCCTGACTATTTTTTATTTTATTTGATAGAAAAAATAACAAATGACATTTGAGCCAAGTTTAAAAACACCCGGTAGACATTATTTTAAATAAATGTTTCTTTTTGATTTTATATTAATAATACGTCGAATAAATTTCTGCATTGTTTCTTGGACTCTACTAACATTTAATAGACGCAAAAAAAAGTCGAATACATACACATTGTGCGTCAGAGCTAGTGAGTAGTAAGCCAACTTGCCGTAGGATCGCTGTGGCGCTATGTTCGGGCCTCCATGTCGTTGTCCGGCTATATGCCGCCGCTGTGCGATCCTCACGATGGCCACTTGCTACTGGACGGAGGCTACATCAATAATCTGCCAGGTAACTGTCACGTTATGTCATACTTTGTTAGGTTTTTTCAACTGTCGACAGTTGAATGTCAATATTGTAAATATTGTTGATAGAGAAGTTAATACAAGTTGGCATGTACGTCATCAAAGACGTCGAAACTATTGATGACGTGGAGGCCAACTTTTATTAGTTTTCCTATATGTTTTTGTAATCACAAGGAATGAGTGCAGAACAAGTCAAAAAATTGAATCAGGTTTCAAAAAGTTAAGTTGTATTGAACTAATTCAAATTCAAAAGTTCTGAATGTGCTTCCATGTGACCACAGACTTATAGTTGTTAACTTGTTGATAGTTTAAAAAATGTGAATATACTTTTCCACAACCCTCTAAAATCCTAGATCATATTATATACTTACATGGATAATTAAATCACTGGAAACTGTCGCAAACATATCAACGACTTCCATTTATTTTCTTTTTTTGTTGCACACGCGGTGCTTCTACTCTATTATATATCCTTGTCGAGGACCTATCAACTTTTAATGCGCATGCGCAAAGCAAGGTCCTCGGAAAAGACAAATGTATTGAACGTTTCATAAGTGCAATAAAGATAGTTTGAAAATTGCATGTCGTGATGTTGGAGTCATATTTTTTAATGCTAAACTTATGACGTTGATTTATCCACGGAAGTATATATGATCTAGGCTAAAAATACGCACTTGATCAGATTTTTACAATAATTTAAAATTTGTATTTTATGACAAAGCAACTACAGTGTTATCCATATTCAACATTTTTCTTTACAAGAAAAAATGTAAACGTGTTGAAGAAAAACATATAAAAAATATAAATATAAAAATTCCAAACAAAATTTTCAATGTTCTGGGTTGTGAGAAAATAATGTATTCATTTTACCTTTGAATAAGAAGACTAAGGAAGGAGCATATCAAAAATCTTAGGTACACCGCGATGGGCCTCAAATATGGCCGACTTAAATTCCGGTTTATCAGTGTCGTTCTAATTTTATTTAAAAAATGTAAAACTATGATGTAGGGTAGACGTGGGGTAGACTCAATAATTTGTTGTTTTATTTTACGTTGTGAATAAATCTTGGTAGTTATTAATATTGTTATAAAAAATATATAATTCTAATAAAAATAGATAAGTTATAATAAGTATTTATTACCACAAACATCCGATACGCTACTGAAGCAGGTAAGTCAAATTAACGTATCTAAATTCTTTGACATCTAATCTTTGACAAGTAATAAATAAAAGCTAAAATGCAAGAAAAATATATAATTTAGTTAATTTAAGTGAATTTCATAAATGATCGGTTTACTACACGTATGTATATTATATAGTCACTTACTAGTGAAAAGTTGTTCCATTATTTCACTCAATTTTTGCCGAGATCTACCGCACGCTACACAACCAACTATTTTAGAGTCTTTTTCGATAAATCGCGATAGTGTCACTGTTAATTTAAGTTCTGCCACAATTTCCATCTAGATTTACTACCTTTATACAACTATCAGTAGTAGAATAAATAATAAATAACATAAAATAAGCTCCGTAAAGACTGACAAATCCACAAAATTTCAAATCAAATTCAAATGTGTCAAATGAATCGTCAAACAGAACTGTCAAGGATCCCCACCCTAGAGAGCTTTTATGGTGGCTTTTCCGCCCACCATGCATGAATACATGGATAGCATTATGCTCCTTCCTTAGTCTTCTTATTCAAAGCATTTTACTTACTGGAAAGTGCAAAAGCATACTCATGTGATTTATGTACTAAAACATCACATTTGTATGTTATATGCTAGTTTCCATGCTGGCTATGTACTATATAATTTTATTCTGCTTATCTATTCGTAATATTTTTCGCAATATCCAAAGAAACTTTCTCGTTCTGAACGTTCATATTGTTAGACATATCATCAGCATGTTATCAGTTGAAACTGTTTTGTAATTTGCTGATGATATTCCAATACACTGTTCAGTTGTGGTATGTTGTAGAAAAATATTGTTACTTCAGATCTTTCAATTCCGAGGCTCTATTATCTATTGGCGTTTGACAGAGATTTGTTTCTAACACACTTGAAGGGAGGTGTTGGTTTTAATACAGTTTCATTTAGTCCTTACACTGTTGTATTAACTGTGAGGGGTAAAGGGGATCAAGAACTTCACCAGATACCAGGTAAGCTGTGATCAGAGATGGAGGGACTTAACCATACATTTTTTTTGAATTTCAACAGTTAAATGTAACTACTATGAAAATACTTCAGTTTTTAGCAGCCATGTCTATTTAAACCGTAGATGTTCTAATAAACTGACATTACATTACATTTTGAAGGGAAATAACTTTTCGTCCGTACCTGTATAAAACTAGTAAGTGAAGAAATATACATCTCCGTGAATTTTTACGTAAAAAATGTCTTTTGGTAAACATCGCTACGAGCAACCGTTCTCAAGATATTTAGAATGGAAATAGTCAATACATGTCATTATTGACAAAAAATAAACACGCTCAGTAGATAGTTATTTGACTGAAAAAATAAATTTGAGAAATTTTAATTTTTTTAAATTAATCATAAATTTTTCTGAGAAAAAATAATGAAAAAACAGTTTCTGTTGAACTTTTGACACATAACATTTCAAATTTATGATTTCGGTCTAATAACTATTTAATCAACATGTTTAATTTATATTAATGATGACAGGTATTGATAATTTCGATTCCAAATATCTCGAGAACCATTACTAATAGTAAAGATTTTTACCAAGATACCTTTTTTATGTAAAAAACGCCGTAAATGTATATTTTAGGAGTTTTATAAAGGTACGGACGAAAAGTTTTTACTCTTTAAACCAGTTAAAAAATATGTAGGTGGCGTCCTCTACAAGTAGGAGCTATATTGATACCAAAATCAAATTTCTCATGTCAAAAAACTCAAGACACCAATTTTCATCGAAATATTGACGTTCCTTCAGAAATTATTCGGAAAAAATCAAAATAAAAATTAAACTTCTACACCCTGTATCTCCGAAACTAAGCATTTTGGAACATTCATTTATACGAACTTTTTTGCTTATTTTAATGTGCAGAATATGCTGCCGAAGTTTCCGGAATACAGTTCGGACCACCCTGTATAGAGAATATACCGCCAGCGATTGTGTAAAAAGGCACAATGTTTGTGAAATAATTTTTTCTGTTTAACCCCATCTCTGGTCATAACAAAAGCTTGTGAATTGCTTAGAATAACTTTATGGTAGAGAGCTTCTTCTGTTTTCCGGGAAACGAACGAGTTTATAATTTAAGGTGAACCAATCACAAGGAAAGAATAAAAGAAGAGAATACCGCGGTCAAAATTATTTAAAATCGAAATTTAAAGTGATTTTGTACTAAATGATTAAGTTGACAGGTTCGCTATGGCGATACGTACGGGCTTCCATGTCAGTTGTGGGGATTTTCCCGCCGCTTTGTGACCCATCGGACGGTCACATGCTAGTCGACGGGTGTTACATTAACAACGTTCCAGGTAAATAGCCTCAGGCATGAGACAATCTCCCTTATTGGTATCCCTATATAGCTAACGAACAAATCACTGTCGAACGCTAGTGTTTTTAGTCTCTGAAAACGTTTAAAATATAAAGTTGCCATTAGCGTATTAAAAAGAATCAAAATTCAAAGTGGTCTTTAAAGTGTCTTTTTTGTTGCTAAAGCATAATTTTCATGTGTCCGTTATCCGTTGATACGATGGTCCGACGGCGCACAGTGGAACGAGCTTATGGGAGCTGTTGGACATGAGGTTTTCTTCTCAACACTTTTAATCCAAAAGACGAAAAAATGATTTTTATATACCGTAATAATGTATAAACAGAACAATTTTAAACTTTAATGAAAGAAAGTGGTTGGCTCGTTACAAACCATCTACAGGGTGACCTAAAAATATAGTATGTTTTGGAAAAATCTTACATGTTTTAAATGCTTATAAACTTTGCCAAACTGTCGTGGAATGTTTTAGTTTTGATCCTTTTAAAAAGAAATAGCTTTAGATTTTACCACTGAAATCTAAGACTACTGATACCGTGTTATAAAAATATGGTAATTAAGGGCTTACATATATTTTCCTATTTAATATAACTTTGCTAATATCTTCGATTTGAAAGAAGATATCAAGATGCGGTTTTCACTGACTTTTTAAGCTTTCATTACTCTTTACTATCAGCTAAAATGGCATATTTATACCATCGCATTTATTTTTTTTTTGAAAAAACGCGCAATGTTTGTTAATTTGTAAGACAGCGCCCCCTAGCATCTACGTTCAAAAGCTTACTATTATTGTTTATATGGTATAATATAGAGTAAGAAACGGTCTTTTAAACGAGCCCCCATTAGTTGGATTCCGTCCATCCAGTCCGGAATTATTAATACTTAAATAAAACAAATCTAACCTTCCCCACCACTTTATTTTGGCAGATAGGGGAAAATGGTTCTAACAAAAATATTCAGAATTTACTGAAGATTATGAAGCTATTATTTATAGTACCCCTTCTCTAGGCAAAGTTGTGTAAAACTCCATTTTCTTATTTTTATAGCAGTTGCGCCCTCTAGCGGCCATTCTACAAATTTGAAAATAATTTCCAGCATTTTCTCATGGTCTCTTTAGTTATGAATATTTTTTCCGCAAGCCTCACGGCTAATACTTTCCGAGATATAGCCGAGAGCTATTCTTAGTGGGACACCCTGTACAATAACTTTATTATAAGCAAAGAATATAACAGTAAATCAACGCACTAGAATATTTTTATTACAAACAAAAAACCTCAACACTGCACCTTAACCCTCTTTCTTTTTCCAATAGTTTATAAGTTTTCCATATATTTGTAGCACCCTGTATCTGTTTTTGATTTTAGCGTCATTTTGTATTTATTCAATTAATAATTAAATATTAATAAATTTATAAAAAATAAAGATAATTTGACTCTAAAAATGTTAAATTAATTTATTGGAATTGAAAAGGTTTTTGATTTTAGTATAGCATGTATTAGTAATATATTAAATGGAAATTTTTAGAGGGGGGCAAGCTGGGGCAAGATGTTAAATTAGTTTCGTTATTAGAAAGGCTTAATCTACCTTGTGATATATATAAAGTCTTGGCCAACTTTGGCCATTTTTTTATTTTTCTACATACACATTTTTTTGCTACTAAATATAGTATTTGGCAGCAAAAAATGTTTATGTGTCTCTTATATACAATTGTTCTCCCAAACTTTTGTGACTATATATATATCTTTTATTTTAAAGTGAAAACAATCGTTTGCACTAATATGTATGGTTAAAAAAAATTATTAATGTCTTTGCCAGTTTTTATAAAACTAGGTTGTTTCACAAGAAATGAATACCATAATTAAGTCAGTGTAATATCTTCATTTTAAACTTTTCAAACAGACATATAATTAAAAATATTTTTTTGAGTTGGATAAAATATAACGGTCTGGACTTTAAGTAATTCAAATCTTCTACCAAAATTATTTAATTTAAAATTTTATTTTTAAGTCAATGTCCAGCATTTTATATTGGGTCTTTCCACCGTGCGGCGCTCTGATTGGTCATAGCGTTTTCGCGCCACTTTTCATCCGAAATTTTTTTACTCCAGCCAGTTAACGGAGAAAGATCGTACGATAACGGACGTTTTGACACTTTTTTGACAAGTTTAATCTAACCTTAATAAAAATATAATAGTACAAGAGCGAATGTTAGGAAAACGAGAATTTTTAGAAAGCTGGTTCTTTAATATATCTTTTCCTCTGCTCTCCTGTGATCTCATGAATGTGCGGGCCGTCTGGCCGCTGGTAAACTACTGCGTATCACATTTGTACAGGGTATCCCGTTTTCTTGTGTTTTATGGGATTTCTCCTTTATGAGTAGAGATACAATGATGCGATTTTCACATTACTTTGCTACTTTTTTATGAAACTTAATATGCTACACATAGGTTTGACCCAGCGTCCTTAGTTGTTGATATTTCAAGAGCACGCATCACAAAAGACCATTACAAATTCGCCTTGTATTCAAGGCGAATATGTGATGCACAGATGTTGAATGCGCAGTAGTGAACGCAACGTCTACCGGCAGCCAAACGGTCCGTACTCTGTTCAGGAGAGCATGGCAAAAGATATATTAAAAAAACAGCTTTCTTAAGATTCTCTCTCGAAAACGTTGCTAGCTCTTAGACTATAAGTAAAACAGCGAAGTCGTTAAGGAAATGAAAATATGAAATGACACCAATCACAAGCAAATCGTATATCCGATGAACGCAGCCAAGAAAATGCAATAAATTTAAGAGAACTGCGTAATTTTCACAATCAAATCAGATTTCAATCGAAGTCTTATGACATTTCTTATATAATTTTACATATAAAATGACAGCGATCTGCATTTCAAAGCTATCGCTGCCGCCGTTTTTTTCGGTCATATTGTATAATATGCTTTTTGGTAAATAAATATCGGGAAAAGACAGTGTCAAGTTACTTTAAAATTAATGATGAATGATATTTTATAGGTAAAATTATATTGCGAATGTTATCGAACCATTCCCAAAGTAATTTGCGCTCTCTTTATTTCGATTGGCAGATTCAAGGAATGCCAATGAATCTATGAAAGAATTTGACGATATATGGATCACTCTTCAAAAATAATATGTAAATGTATCGATATATTTTTAAATTTTACCATCACTATAGCAAGACCTTTGAACATCTGTCTTACCGAGTCTAGCCGAACACCGCGTTCGGGTCATGATAGTTTACGAATAACCAATCAATAAATTTCGAGAAATTTTTTGATTGATTGAGATGAAAATATCAGTCGGCCAATTTATACATCCGAAAAATGTCATAAGAATATTAAGTCACTAGCAAGAAATTTCATATTACGAGCTTGCAGAATCCCACCTCTGTTATTTGGTACAATAAATTAGACAAACTTTAATCCTCACCATTTTCATTAGAGAAATTATGTTAGAAACACCATCACTTTAGGGAAATAATTTTTATTTCATCTAACTTTTTAGCAAACTTATTCACGGAGTATTTTTCCTTCTTGTTATAAGCACTTTTCTTTGATATTTGTTTGTATATTCTCAATCAGAATTTTGAAAATTGTTTACCAATATAAAATTATGAATATAAAAATGGCAACTTTATGTTTTCTTTTACTAATATACTTACCCGAGACTCGCATGTTTAAGTTGAATCAAAACCTGCGTTTTAGCCGATGTAATGAGGAGCATGGGAGCCGACCATATCCTCGCCATCGATGTGGGATCGGTAGACGATCAAGACCTCACCAATTACGGAGATGACCTCTCCGGCTGGTGGTTGCTTTGGAAACGGTTCAACCCTTTCTCCTCACCTATTAAAGTGCCTAACTTGCCGGACATACAGACTAGACTAGCCTACGTCAGTTGCGTCAGACAATTAGAGGTAATAACGGTCTAACCCGATATACCATATGATCGAATAAAAAACGGCGTTGACTGCTACGAAATGACAATTATTGACGACAATTTTGGCGATATTTTCCACTAGAAGTTTAAGTTAATTATATATACACTGTAACACAGAATTATTATATAGCGCCTCTCTAACGAGTCCATTATCCAGAGAGCGAGGGACAGTAGGTAGAAAAGAAATATATGATTGTCACGTAAAATTTGTTAATAAAAGTGTTGTTAAAATTCTTCTAGTTTTATCACAAAGTTTATGAATCCCGTCACAAATTGGCGCCCAACGTTGGCGCCCAACGTGGGGCGCTATATAATAATTCTGTTTTACAATACAATTTAACTGGCAGTAAGCGCCATTAAAAAATAAAGAAGAGTAGGAGCCAAGTAAATGACGTCTACGGCTTGACCTCGCCAAAATTACCATAGATTGTCGTTCCCCAGCCATCTTTGATGTCGTTTTTTTTCGATCGCATGATAGTATTGTTAATATTGTTTAACTTTTAACGATTTTACTTTATAACTGCGTTCTAGGAAGTGAAGAATAGTGATTATTGCGAATATATCCGTCCCCCGATCGACAAATACAAAACTCTTCAATTTGGCAGTTTCGACGAGATCAGAGAAGTGGGTTACCTTCACGGAAAAGCTTACTTCGAGGGCCAGAGTCGAGCCGGCAACTTGCCGAGATTCAATAATTCGGAAATGCACAAGTCGCAGATGGGCGAGGACAATCAGTCGTCTCAGTACACCTTCACTGATTTGGCTCAGATGGTTTGTAAAGTTAGCAGGTAAGAGAGAGAAATAATATGAAAGAATACCGTCTTTCGACAAGCATTGTTTTTGGCCTAACTAAATTTCGGATACATCGTTTTTTGTATGCTATTACAATTTTTTTATACAATTTTTATTATTTGCTTCAATTATCGTACATTTTTAGGCCTTACGAAGAAGAGACTGCGTCGAGTAGTTCGTCTGAATCAGACGACGAGGATGAAGGTCGGGGAGGTTACGCGTCCGAACCTACAGGAGGTTTTTCAAACGTAAGTGAACGCTTTTAGTATAAATAATTTTACTCTAAAAAACACCTTTTTTCGCTTAAAACTGATTTTACACTCCCTTAACCACAGCGTAACCTACGTCAGCTCAGTTGGCACGGATCCACAATAGACGATTTTTCGGGTGATAGGGACTAATATATATATTAGTAGATTTTAGTTGGTAACTATTTAGTTGTATATATTTTGGCTTAGGGGTTTTGGTTTATCTAGTGTGTCGGATTTACATGTCATTTGCTGTCCTCCTTTCACGCAGTTGAGCAGCTCTGAACTGGTCAAGAACGCGATACTCTCACTCCATTCAATTGAGTCATAAAGTTCCAGAACTGTTCCGCGCCATCTGGAGGCACCAGGCTATCGCGCACCGCTCCTTTCAGAACTGTTCTCGAGTAGCCCCAGGGCGTAAAGCCCGTAACTCGAAGTTCACGAATGGAGGACAGCAATTGTAACACCCATCATTATAATTCAGAATCATTCAATCGCTGTTTGTGCTTTCTGTCACCTGCCGTTGATTGTTCTTAACCCATATCTTAAAAAAACACTTTAAAACATCTTTTTCTTTTAGGAAACGAACCATAAGGGCATGCGCAGGGCAGGAGGTTCGCTGTCACTGTCAGAAAACGAGTTGGAACCCGATATGGATTTCAAAATCAAATCGCCTTCTGACTTTACCTAATTATAAATTAAATTAACTTCGAAAAATGTACCAAAATAGACCTCGACACGGGGTCGAATAGTCAAATTGAATTTACCAAAAATATAGCAATCTCAAATAAAAAGAAACGTGATGGGAACGTACCCATTTCGAACTAATACTATAAGTTAGGGAATTTATACTAGTAGCATAAACTCGTTATAATTACAGTTATTTATATTTCGTACTGATTACGTGAATTGTACAAGTAAATAAATGATTTTCAATGAAAAATTTTCTTTTGTTTTTGAAGGTATAGTAGGATGATCATGTATCATATATGTTATATATGATGTCATATAATTTATGTACGGCGATCATATATAATTTATGTTTTTTAAATATAAGATATGTTTATATCCCATGTTCTATATATATTTTATATTCTGATCATATATAAATTATATTACAATTATATATAATCATGAAAATATCATATATAAATTATGTACGGTTATATATAAAATATACACGATCATATATACTTTATTAAGGATCATATATAAATTATATTATCATATATAATTTATCGATGATCATATATAATTTAAATATGATCATATATAATTTATCGTCGATCATATATAATTTATCGGACATCATATATAATTTATCGTCGATCATATATAATTTATAAATGATCATATATAATTTATAGACGAGCATATATAATTTATATATGATCACATATAAATTATATATGATCGTCGATAAATTATATATGATCGACGATAAATTATATATGATCATTAATGAATTATATATGATCGCCGATAAATTACATATGATTGTCGATAAATTATGTATGATTGTCTATAAAATATATGATCATATTTAAATTATATATGATCTAAATTATATATGATTATTTGTCAATTATATATGATAATATAAAAAATCTATATGATCATCTATAAATTATATATGCTATATAAAATTTATATGATATTTTTATATACGGTCATTTTGAAAAAATCGTTGAAAGGGTGAATAAAAACAACAATTATAAACAATTTGCTTTATTTCATGAGAACAATAATATAATTTTGCACAAAGTTTTACTAACATTGTCGCTGTACAAGTTGTTCCCACCTCTATACAATCGTCAGGAAGGACTCCCCTTTTGATTTTGGAATCAGATGTCAATTCTATAGTTTCCCATCGAAATTTTATCTCCTAATCAAAAATTAACGTCAAAACTGCTATTTAAAGATCTAAATTTGACAGTCTGACTCTCAAATCAAACGAGGATTGCTTCGAGACGTTTTGAACAACAACGCAACACATACATATAAACTAAAAACCATAAAACACAACAAGTTATAGACATTATGAAATAAATAACAGATTTAGTCGATTTTTTGTTATGCGGAAATGCAAAAGTTTTTCTATACACGAGATACAGTAGTTTCAGATAAGTTGTCTAAAGTAAAATATTGTATTTCCACTTAAAGAGCTCTATCTCATCCCAGTCTCTTACATAACTAAGCTTTGATACTTAAAATATATTTATTACAACCATTAATATAATTGCTGAATGTCATTATGAGAAGCAGCCTAAGAAGGTGACTGATGATTCTTTGTATTGTTTCTCAAATGTAAGTTTAGTTACAATGGCCCTAACTGACTTACGTACTTTTCTGGCGGTTTTACTGGACGCGTAAAGTGGCTACGCACTTTCAGTTTATATGATATATGATATATATAAAAATAACAAATATTTGATCATATATAAAAATATCATTAATTATATATGATCATATGTAAACTATATATGTTATATATGCTATACATGTAGCTGATCATATATAATTTATATATAATGATCATATATAATTTATATATAATGATCATATATAATTTATATATAATGATCATATATAATTTATATATGATAACATATGTATATGTTATATATGATGATCATCCCGGATTAAACTAACGTGATTGGTGGAGATTTTTGCACGTTTCGTTATCACGTGGTAGCCATGTGCATTTCCTGTTGGTCAGTGCTACCTCCAATTTTATGTCCCCCCTGAAAATAAACGATAAATCGGTCGGATATTTCGCGTGCAATCTAAACAAAAAAACTTATCGCAGAGACTAATCAACGCAATCAAAACACGACTACGGCGTATGATTTATTAAAAAAAACTGTTTTACCTGTGAATTGAAACTACCAGAAAAGTACGTGTCTATAGGGGTCATAAAGAGAACTGGTAGTCTCTTAAACAAACAAACAGACTTTACAGATGGTATAGAATAAATTTTCGGCTAGTCCGGCTTGGAAGATATAAGGGTTCGAATAGAAAAACTGTAACCAGCGAACCTACATTTATGTACAGATAGCGTCGAAGTAGAAAATCTACGTTAACTCGACATAACAAAAGGTGCGGTACGTCACTGGAACTACTCACGAGCCAAACTGGTACTGCGGCCGACCAAATCTACTGTCCGCACCCGTATTTCGGCCATATCTTTATTAATATTTATCATTTTCAACGATCTAAATAGAATCACTAATTACAGGTCACCGAATTACATTTGGAAATAAATCTAGTTCAATCAATCATTGTCATCATCGACATTCTTTGAATAGAAGTACATAGTAACATTACTTCTATAATATCTTTGAATAAAAATATTAAAAAAGGAGTAGAATGCTATCCATGTATTCATGCATGAGAGACGGTTCCGACATCCTGGACCTCTATTTTTGACAGTTTTGTTTGACGTTTCAACGAGACTTTTGAATTTGATGTCAAATTTTGCGGATTTGTTGGACTTTTCGGTTTTATTTTACGTTGTCAATAAATGTTGACAGTTTTTTAAAAATTGATATAAAAAATATAATTCTAATAAAAATAGATAAGATATAATAATTATTTTTTAAAACAAACATCCGATACGCTACTGAAGCAAGTAAGTCAAGTTGACGTATCTAAAGACATCTAATATTTGACAAGTAGTAAATAAAAGCAAAAATACAAGAAAAAATATATAATTATTTAATTTTAAGTGAATTTCATAAATAATCGGTTTACTACACGTATGTATATTATATAGTCACTTACTAGTGAAAAGTTAATCCATTATTTCCTTCGATTTTTGATCGAGATCTACCGCACGCTTCATAACCAACTATTTTACAGTCTTTTTCGATAAATCGCAATAGTGTCACTGTTAATTTAAGTTCTGCCACAATTTCCTTCTAGATTTACTACCATTATAAACTGCTACCAGGTTGTAGAATAAATAATAAATAACATAGAATAAGTTCAGTAGAGACTGACAACCACAAAATTTCAAATCAAATTCAAATGTGTCAAATGAGTCGTCAAACAGAACTGTCAAGGATCCCCACCCTAGAGTCCTCTTTCCGTTTACCATGCATGATTACATGGATAATTCATTATACTCTTCCCTTAATATTTTTATTCAAAGATTACAACACTCTTTGTAGTTCAAACGCGTAGTTCAAATGACCTGTACTACAGAGAGGTGAACTGTTTATGGCCCTTGACCGGTTGGGAAGACAACAAATCATTAACCTTGTGTTTTCTACGAATCTACGGGCCTTGTGCTACTGAGGAAGGCCAGAGTGATAGGTTGGGTTTTGATATGTGACGACCCGTAGTTTAGTTATACCGGGTTACATCGGCTCAGGACATTATTTTACGCCCACGTAAATTTTAAGGGTGTTATTAAAATTATTTCCTAAATTAAGTAATTAAAAAAAAGTAACTTGTACAGCGGTAAAACAGTATACATACATATTTGTCATTTCAGTACTTTAAAAAGTTCAATTAAAAGTTTGTTTTAAAATCAATAGTGAAACAAATAAACAATACCCTTAAAATTTATATGGTATTTCCTATTTGTCCTGACCCGATGTATAACCCAGTATATTCTTATCCCAAGTGAAACATCTCAGCGCTGGCCAAACGAAGAACCGAATCGAACTAACAATGAAGAATCAATGCCGAAAAAATTACTTATTGTCAATTGGCGATACTGAAACTTATTTCTCCCGAAAATCAGTAGGTACTAATAAAGTTATTTCAGCTATATAGTAACATATTTACATAGATATTACCAGCTATATACTCTCTACCAAAGTTTTTTTTATGTACAGATTTGTATAAGTCTAGAGATAGATTCTCGTCGAACAAGAACCGAATGACTAGGAAGATAACGAGATGATTTTGAAAAAATCGTGCCTTAAAGGGTCTCTTAACATACGCAATGTTTTGGCTAGGTATTTTTTCGAAATCACCTCGCGAACAGGCAAAGAAAATTGACATCTCGGTTGGATTACAAGCGAGTTTATAAAAGAGGCTTTGAAAGGCGGACATCAATTTCTTATCCTCGTTATAGACTACAGGCGGACTCTTACCTGTCAGTCTCGCAGAGGCAGTTTGACTGATTCAGTGTTATGAACGTGAGAACACATTTTCAGTGAAAATTATCATTAATAACGTGCTTTCAGTGAAAGTGAAAGATATACACTGTTTCTAAAATAGCTTGTATTTTTCTACACACATTTTCCTACAAACGTAAAAAACCGGCAACACCGGATGCCGCTTTTCATTTTGTCTCTCTGTCTGTCAACCGGTCATTTATATTATTCTCTGTCAGTCTCATTAAAATCCAGACCACATAAATTGGATGACCAGCAGGGTATATGATATAGGGTAGACACAGTAGTAGTTATATTATACAACAATAAAGTTTGTATACCATCTCGTATATGGTATTGGAAAAAAAACTGGAGTAGCTGTAAAATAAAAACATAACACAATAGGTTGTAAAATGGTATTAGGTACTGAAAGGTACTAGTTTAAAAAAATAAAGATTAAAGTTAAGTAACCAAGTCTTTAGGTATAAAATTCAGTGGTGTAATTATTGAAATTATTATTAATAAAATATTTTGTTTTATTTGTGGTGTGTTATTTATCCGTTCACTGAAAACTTGCTCTAACGTTCATTATTCCTTCCAATCCCACTGAATCAGTGAGACTGACAGCTGAGAACCCGTCTTAAGAGATGGCTTTTTGAAAATCACATGTGTAAGAAACAAGAAGTATTTTTATCTAAAATAGAATCAAAAGAATTATCTGAAAGTCTCTACACTAAACAAGAGCTTTCACACTGTAAGAGTTCTTTTAGAAGACTATATTCTAACCTATCATCAATATTTAAGTTGTATAAAGTATTATTTAAAAAATTAAAGTTTAATAAAACAGTTTTTGATTCTTTATCAATACTTTAAACCTGCTCATGGCACAGAAAAACAAACGTTTCTTTTACTTAAACATGCATTTTTTACGTAGCCTAACTCTTAAAATATTTATTATGAACAGAAAAATAACTGAACATTTTTAGCAACTATAAAACACCTTGTTTCTTCACTTTTATCACTAAGAACAGCCTAATGCCCAGCTTAGATCCGTAAGGTTTAGTTTAATTTAATCAGTAGCAAATGTAGAAATCTGTCACACCTACTTAAACGTATATCTCTTATACAAGGTAGAAAAGAAAAATCTCACAACTTGGCAACAATCTATCCTAATCATAAACTTCCCCAAGAAAGACATCTAAGTCGCACAGTACTTCCGTCAATGTTATTTTTATAATTTACTCCGGCCTAGATACGATATGATATAAAAAAACGGCAAGACAATGCTGATATGACAATAATGATGATAATTTTAGCGAGGTCAATCTCATCTAGATGTCATTTACTAAAAATCGACAAAATTTGTCAAAAATTAACACTAATTTTTCAGACACACCATTTAAAAATCATTTTTCTCAAAAATTAACTCAATATAAAAATAAATTACAACCTTCTTAATAACGTGTAGGGCTTGACCTCGCTAAAATTATCTTCCCAGCCGTCTTTGACACCGTTTTTTTTTATCATACGGTACAAGCGGGTGATCAAACAATGCGACTTAGACGTTCGTTACGTGGCTTAAACCATGAATAATTTCCCCCAGATGGCGCTTCATAACTGGTACCACTTCTTGTCCTTGTACTTGAGCATCAGCTCGTGCGCCGACGAGCTGAAGTTCTCCGCCTCGTTGCGCATGCGCTCCGCTCTGTCCTCTAATTGGCTCAGCTTTTCCCCCCTCTCGAGCATGAGCTTGTGGGCGCGGCTGACCTCGCTGCAGGCCGTGTTCGCCCTTTGGCCGACCTCTTGCATGCTGCCCGGAATGTGTTTGGCGATGGATTTGTTCGCCTTGCCGCTTGATTCTCCGACTTAAGGAAACAAAGATAAGGTTAGGTTAGAAAATAAATTCCAGAGATATAGGGGTAAGGAGAATATTCTTCGGCCAGTTATGCTATTCTCTCTACCCCTATACCTCCGGATTTTTCAGAGATCTTACATAGTTCCTCTCGATCCAAAGAGCTAACTCCGCCTCCGAACAGGCCTTTGAAGAAGCCAACTTTTGGTGGTTCTGGCATCTCGCAGGTTAAGAAAAGGTCTCCCAGCATCTCTGTTAAGTCAGCGCTACAAAAAATAAATAAAATAAGGTATAAATAAAGAGATGAGCATTTCTTCAAATAAAAGAATTTAAAAGAGGAATATTTCTTTGTTAGTATATTCAGTTTGGTTTGCACACATTGATTTTGGATCGGATACACTGTAGGGCGCTGCTATAGGAGTTGCTAAGAACAACCATAATCAGTGAAAGAAATAAAAAATTTAAACCGTTCTTGTTGAAAAAATGCGTTCTTTTTCACGGTTATTGTGATCTTGAGCGTTTAATTTTAACTGCATTTACGCAAAACCCTTGATAATTGTGGAAAAGTTGCATTAAAAAAAACAACTAAAAACTGCTGTGTGAATAAATTTGAACAAAAAATAATTTTCCGATATAATTACGGAGAATGCCAAACAGCTCCAGAAATCATCAAAAGCTATGTACCGCATCCGCTGCAAGAACAGCGCCAAATAGTATTTACATTGTCCTTATGGCCACTGTCCCATCCAAACTTGTTTCATTTATTTATGTAATGAATTTAGCTTCTCTAAATAATGTACGTCTTTTAAAATTTCTCTTTTAAACTTACCAAAAGTCCGTGCACAAAGTAAACTTCTGCAGTTCCGATGGCGACGCTAGATACAGACCGTGTCCTTTGTTGCTAAAGCCGAATGTTCTTGCGATCCTACAAAATTCCCCCAACAGTATTATTTACAGCTATTCTAGATTCTCTTAGATGTTTAGGTATCTCTTTCGAAAACACTTCTGGGAGGGCGGCAACAAGTTGAATCCGCCCAAGTTTATCTAATAAACTAACTTTACTAATTCTCTTCTTTTAAAGTAAATAGAAAGTTTCTGGTTGACTGGGGATAGCAATTTCATTTCGTTAAAACCCTTTTTAGTTTACATCAGTTGGTTTAGTAAATCCGATAAAATTTTGTACGAAAATTGTAAATTTTTACAAATTTTATAAATAAAAGCTTGTTTGAAACGTAGAGGGCACTTTTTCCTTTTTCTCTAATAATCTCATATCATAGTTAAAAAAGACAGCACGCTGTGGCATCAAGTTGACGAAATGGCAGATAAAAAAAACTTTTATGTTGGTAGTCATGGCAAATTTTTGCCGGCTGTCACGAGATTTTTCTTTACGAATCCGTTATTTGATATTTCCGATTTTATTATTATTTTAATAATCTGACATTTGACAAATTTGAAACTAAATCTGCGTATACGTATATTTGACGTGCATTCGTCAAATATTTCATTGACTTTTATGTAATAACTTGTTGGCGCAGTCGACAGGATAGATATATTTTAAACAAATTTGTTTCTAGATATCTACAACATAGTATCACGATAAGGAGCAGTTTAATGATGTTTTCTGATATTAGATAATGGATTTAAGCTTAAAAATAACTCGTTTATTCCTACAGTTAGAGATATTTTTATGTTCTAGTATGGCATTTTTATCTAAGAATAGAAGGCAGTCCATAGTTTTTTTTCCAATATTTACATATCAGACCGTTTCGTTAGCAAAAAATAAACAATTTGATCCATTCGTGTCCCAAGAGTGTTTTACAGAGATACTACCGTATGACCGAAAAAAAAAAACGGCGTCCAGTTGGCTTGGAGATGAACATCTATGACAGCGATATTCATTTCATAGCCATCGCTGACGCCATTTTTTTTCGATCACATTGTACTTCAAAATATGATCATTATTTGGTTAGTGATGTTATAAATTTCGATCCACGCGCATCTACCAAACAAACTTACCATCGTTTGGCGCGGGATTTTTGTCATAGAAAAATTTTATCGTCTTCTCCGCCGTTTCGTTTTTCTAACATGCAGGAAAATTTTGAGAAATCATGCGATATAGAATAGAAGAAAATGAGCTGCGTGTGCGCTTGTCGAAAGCGTTTCAGTAAATAGCGTGATTCGATTTGATTTTCGACGCCTATAATTCTCGCTCTGTCATATAAAGAAAATTTGTTTGTTTTGTCTGTTTTTCTTTAAATAATAAAGTATTTACAAATGTTGTGGCAAATATTTACTTAATACAGAATCAAAGGCGGTCAACTTTTTTTAAGTAAATTATCGTAAGTCTTATTTCGTGTAATCAAAAATTATTAACAATATTTAATGAACAATTAGATGTTGACAACCTTCTATTCAAAAAAAGTGTACTAATAATGTCGTTTTACAATAAAACAAATAAAAACAATTTAACTTTTTATAAACAAAATATAAAATATATAGTGTTTGGAGATGGACTTACTGATCGGTATCCTCGTTTACGATAAGTTGCTGTCCCCATATCGATAACATGGGATCTACAATTCCCTTATTACTGGGTGTCTGAAAACTATTGGGAGGTCAAGAAGCGACATTAGCCTCAATATATTCCAACAAATAACAACTGCACATTATTCAATTACGTGTAGTGAAATTATTTTATTTTGTTTTTGAAAAAATCAATTAAATTAGTAATTTTATTTTGTTAGTAAAATTGATTTAATTCCAATTTTGTTCCGATTTGTGAATGTATATTAAAAAATTCGTGTAATTTCATGCATATCGGGTGTGCTCTCTAAGTATTATAGAAACCAATATATGTGCACACATTGAAAAAATGTAAATAGAAAAAACATTCAAATTTGGTGCCAGAGGAAAAGATATCGCTATACACTTATTTACAGCTAATAGTGTGGCGATGGGTTAGGTTTTGTAGCTTACCTTAGTTCGGATAACGGTAGAAAGTCGATGTCAAGGAGTTGTCGAAGACTGGGCAGACTGTAGGCCATGAGGTGTCCGTTGGAGACGTAACATGCGAGACATACACTGTCTGAAATACAACAAACGCTTTTAATGTCCTCTTTATAACACAAAATATTCAAAAATATAGATGCTATTTAATGAGTTGTTATTTAAAAATAATAGTTTTATATTCAAAAAATAACAGGTATGAAAACAAGATTGTGATTAAAACGATATCTACTCAGTTGCGATCACCACACTACGAATTTTTACCAAGCTTGCCACAGGTCTTACTTTTAGATATAAGAATAACATAAATAAATTATTTTAGCACTATTATTTAGAAATAACAGTTTTGCCTTTCAAAAAATAACAGTGTAAATAATAGGTATGAAAATAACAGTGCAAAAAATCCTTGATATGAGGTCAGGATCAGCACGCTTCGAATTTTTGACAAGCGTCCAACCAAAGATTAGTACTACTGAAAATTAACAGTTGTGAAAATATCAGTTTCCTAATATCGACGGCTCGTGAAATAAAATCGGAATCACGCCAAAAAAATTGCAAATATTGTTCAAATATTATTCCTAATCTTAAATTGAAAACCGCGTTTCGCTAGCTACTGTAATTTTGGAGTTACGATTTTTTAAAATTTTTAACCTATGATCCAAATAACTCATTTTGAGTGAAATTAAAAAACTCATTTTGCCGATCTTAATAGCCTACCATACCTATTGGTATGGTCGGCTAAAAAGGTGTACTAGGCATGTATAACACTTGTTACTTAAAAAACAGACATGCTATAATAACAGTGCTCCGAAACTAATGACTCGCTATGTGAAAATATGTCCACTGTATTCCTCAAACTATATAACAAAGATGCGTTGTTATTTAATTAACTGTTATTTAGAAATAACAGTTTTACCTTCCAAAAATAACAGGTATGAAAATAACAGTGCGATAAAAAAATTGCCAAGCAACAGTTGTTACTTCCAAAAATTAACAGTTGTGTTTAGCAGTGAAAATAACAGTTCCCTAATATCGACAACAAAATTACATAAACCTGCTAATTTAAGCTGTTTTTCATAGTTATTGGTAGAAGTTCCAACTGTCATTGACAAAGAACAGTTTCAGCCACTTCTGGCAATACAAAATATACTCAGTTTAACTTAAAATAGGATATTGTACCTTTAAACGAAATAACTTCTGCCTTGACCACGAAGTCGCTGTCGGCCAATTGCTGTCTGTAAATACACGTTTGCGAGGGCAGAGCTACGACTCTAGCCTGTTTTTCGCTGGCTATCACGACGAACTGCCTATCGTTGTAATTGTCGCTCCTCGTGGTGTTCTCTCCCATTGTCGGACTCATCCTGTTTTGGTTCCTGGTAGGCGTTCCTGGATAAATAACGTAGGTTTTATATAAACTAATGAATACGTGTATATCGGCTAGTTGCAATCCGATTGAACCGCTCGCACTCACACTTTCGAAACATACTATAACTAGTCTAATAATTACGCTACAATACTACCGTACAATCGAAAAAAAAAACGGCGTCAAAGAGGAGGAGAATGACAATCGATGATAATTTTGGCAAGGTCAATCTCTAGACATCGTTTACTAAAAATTGACAAAGCCATTAAAAATATAAAAAAATTATCGTCGATTGTCATTTCACAGCCGTCTTTGACGCCGATTTTTTTTTCGATCGTATGGTATTACAAATAAAATTCTGTAATATTACAGAAAATTCCATAATACTAAATAAAAAATGATATTAAAAATCAAGTAGTTCCAATGTCACAATCATTTATCTGATCGGTAGTTCATATGGTTTATACTTACTATCTCGCTCCTTCCTGTCTCTGTTGTCGTCTCGCCAAGACTCATATGAATACGGTATGAGTGCGCCGTTGCAGTCCAGAAATGACAACGTCAAAATGCTACCTTTCAGCCTGAAAATGGTCATGCCTACCATCGAAACCACCACAGGTTGGGACGACCGACTATCTGAATCGGGAGGCGTAACCAAGATTGTTAGTACCGAGCCCAGGCTGGTACCGACCCAAAGGGTTGGCGTTAAAACTGTAGGTTCTGCAAAAAAATTGTTTAGTTATAACACATTAATAGATATTTACGATACAAGTGGGTTAATGGAGTTAACCACACAAGTATCTCAATGGAGTTAACTCGCGTGTATTGTACAATATTTTATCTACGTCTAACTATAAAAACAGACAATGAATTTTAAAAATTATTGTACTTAACTATATACCTATCCTAAAAATCAATTACCTTAATACCTTTGTTCAAATAACACCATGCATGGCAAAATGCTATTCTCTGCTTTTCGTTTTGTCAGATTGAGGGTTACAGCAAAGTCGGCCTGAAGATGGAGATAAGTCTCCGAAACCGGTCGTCGAATGGCTGTTCCCTTCAGTCTGATGAACTTAATGCAGAGAATAAGCATATTTGTAGGGTTTTTTTGGCCCCTTTTACCGCTTCTTGTATTGTGTTTGTTTATATATACCCTACCAAAACTTTCAGCTCCATCTACGGTAACGTGGATGAAGCAAGCATGTGTATCATTAACATTTATAATAACAAAGTTTTCATGTTTTTATAATTATTATCAATAGAACAGTTTATTTGTATTTAGTAGGTATTTAGTGCAAAATAAATGTTTTTTTAACAAAATATTTTTTTCTCTTTGGTAGTCATCTAAACGAGGAGTACGGTAATGAAAATGCATGAGTTAAGAAGCTCTTAACTCACTCAAAATACGTGAGTTAAGAGCTTCTTAACTCACTGACGTAGATAAAATTAATTTTAAAAATAGATATTTTAAGAATATTACCTGACTTTTTGGTGTACGAATCTGCGAAAACCAAACACTGTATCGACTCAGAGGTAATGTTTTCCAGGCTGCTCATGGAACTCGACCTAGATCTGGAGAAGCTGCTGTCCATTTTGTCTACCCGACCCATAGGAAGAAAGGAAATACCGGTTAGTTGAAACGGTTTGCGAATTTTAAAAGAAATATCTATATCTATACAATCTCGTGCATATTGAATCAATTTATATCCTATAATAGAATCATTCATTTTAAGAAACTTGTTGACTTAAGAATCTTTTACGCTGTACTGTTCGGGTCGCTCTCAGGGGTCGGGTAAACCGGGTGTGTAGCCGAAAGAAATATATATTATATTCCAAAAATCTGCCTAAGGCTTAGCCTGATCTTGTCGTGTTAAGCCACACCCAAAATTCCAAACACACGTGCTTTTATTAAGGCTTGATTAAGGTTTGCAGAGCTTTAGCATTTGCCATAAAATAGCGAACAATTTGTTACAAAACCATATAAATTATATATCACTGTAACCACAAAACTTCAATCTATTTCCGTATTGCAACGGAATGTTAAATTATGTCTTTATTTTCGAGAAAATTTAGTCCAAACATAAGGAATATTTTGTTGAAGACTATCAAAATCTTAAAAATAAATAAGTTGTCTAAAAATGTGCTTCAATACGGACATAGTATAATCCTTTATCTTTAATTTCCTTCTTGATTTGTGTAAAAATACCTAGCCAGTTTTACAAAAAACGTTAAATGCCAAATGCTTATTTTGCTACTTTTTCAGACTAGTGAAATGGAATAAATCACGATTGAAATATAAATTGATTCAACGTTACAGACATGCAATACATCTAAATAAGCTTAAATCATATTAAAAATGTGCGGTATTAAAATAAAAGAGTACAACATGTTTATCAAATTGTTTCTTCATTTCTAAAAAGAAAATATTTTGATTATTTACAACAAACAACCTGATAAAACATCGTACAAGGATTAAAAACAAAAACAAAACAGCACAACGAAGGGGTCTTGCATCATGCAGTTATCCCTATTTTTGCAATAGCAGTACATATATTCAACTTGGCTCTAAAATCAATTATTTCGTATAAAAATATACCACATTTTTTTAAATATTTACAAAAATATTTAGTGTATTAGTGCCACAGCTTATTTACTAACAGCTAGTCATCTTCAGGTAGTCAGAACATCAGTCTTGATAGTTTTTATAAACGTAGCTTCAAAGAAGCTCAGAATTGGACTTGTTAGATAAGTGAATATCTAAGTAGGTCTGCAAATTATCAACCGGCTGTCAAATTAATAGGCTGTGATTGGTATCATGCTTGAATAGGTTCACATGCAAAAAAATTTTATCGATAGGTTGGAGACAATAGAGATCTTGTGGTCAACATAAAATAAGATAAATAAATACACAAAAAAGGAACTTAAATAATCAATTAGGGGTCCATTTAATCGACAGGGTACACTGAATGCAAAGCGGTACTTTTATTTCGATATAATTATAGGGTTTTAACTATTAATAACTATCGAAAAATATTCATTTAACGTTTCTGAAATAACGTACAGACCATGTTGTGTCGACATTACAACGACTTTTTTATATATTGTGTTCTAGTGTACCGATTTTGATGACTTTTAAAGGAATTTGTAGCTAAATTATTGAACTTTTTATCATCTCTTTCTAATTTAAAAATGAAAGTGTGTGTCAATTATACGAGGGAAAACAAAATGTTGATATTTTAGTGAAAGTTTGAAACACCCTGTGGAATATATTAAGACAGCAAGAAATTTGAAAAGAATTTTTTCATCTAGGTACATCCTTTCTTGGTAGTTTGTTTTTTGGTTCATCTCAATAGCTTTCTTTTTGTGGGAGTTATTCGCTTTTAAAGAAGACACGAACATTTTTTCGTAATTTTTACATTAAAACCATGCCTTTGCTTTTGGTCCCACTCAACAAACTTATGAAATAGTATTTATGATTTATGTTATTGAAAAATCATATTATTATTGTCTATTGGCCGTTGGGCTGTTATTCTAGCAGAGACAGTTAGTGCTAGCAAAAAATGTTAGAGCCTTCTTCAAATGCGAATATCTCCAACAAAAATTAAGCTATTGAGATGAACCAAAAAACAAACCATCAAGAAAAGATACACCTAGATAATAAAATTATTTTTAAATTCTTAGCCTTGTTAACATATTCCACAGGGTGTTCCAAACTTTCACCAAAATATCAGCATTTTGTTTTCCCTCGTATAATTAACAGATGGAAACTTTCGTTTTTAATTTAGAAAGGTATACTAAAAAGTCAAATAATTTAGCTACAAACTACTTAAAAAACCCATCAAAATCGGCCCACTAGAACAAAATATATATATATTAACTTTTTAAAGTACGTGAAAGTTTTTAAGGTAATTAATAATATTTTTCGACAGTCAATATCAGGGAAACACATATTATGTCAATACAAAGCTGTTCTTCTTTTTGTCAGAAAACATACAACGGTGCACAACATCGAATTTCACGAACACGTAGAGATTAAAACAGACAGATCGAGAAAAAGTAGTAGGAATAGATAGACAGAAGCAAACTTCACGCGTTTGTTCATTTACAGACAGTATTAGAAAATTTTGGTGTTTGTCAAAAAGCAATTTTTCATTCCGATTTGTTTCTTGCAAAAAGGAAGAGAGAGAGAGAGTGTATACAGATTTGGAAGTACATCTAGTCACCATAGGTAAATGACGTATGTGATACGCAGCACAGCCTTTTCATTAGGCAACCAGTCGAGTTTTTTTTTATAAACCGACTTGTTACATAACCTAAGATAGGTAGGTACGCAGAGTCAAATGCCTAATGAATAAGTTGTGCTGCGCAGCATGCTGAGTCGCATCTCTTTCATCGTGACAGAGAAGGAAAACTTTACACTAAAATTTCCTTTTTTCTGTAAAGTTTTCCCGAAAAGAAATTATAGAAAGAAACATTTATAAGAAACAAATGCCTAATATAAATACCTATATACGTGAGTAAAAAAATCTGTGTACATGACTACTTCGGTGAGAGTTTAGACAAAAAACTACTTCAAAAAAGTCCCAATGAGAAAATAAATGCACACTATCAATTCGTTTTAAAACAAATACTGCTATTGCCTGGGTCGCTCTCAAAAATCTACCACTAATAAAATGGAAGAATATACTACGAATAATTCTACTCTATTTTAGTTATTTGTTTTTTTTATCTCACTATTGATTTAGTTGTTTTTTATGATTTAGCCCAGAAAGAAACAGAAGAGTAACAGAAAGGAAATTATTTATTTTCCTATAAAAACAATATGTTTTAAAAGACTAAAAAGCACTCTAAAGAAACAAAAATAATTAAACAAAGAATACCATATAAGTAATACTCCTATAAGGCTAGTATCGTTGGCTAATTTCGTGGCACAAAACCTGTCTTCAATTAAAGATGTAGCTGGCGTTACCGTACGCCTGTCCGAGAATTCCGAGATTTAGTTTAGCTCTGCGCCGCTGCGCTCTGAAGTCATTTACAGCGCAGTGGTTAAAGGATACTGTACCGAAGTTCTGCTTACAGTCGACAGAGTGAGTGGTTGCCGAAGACAGTGTTGCCAGAACTACTAATTCATCCGTAGATTTACGGATTTTGGGTACAGTGCGTTAATAATACGGATTTTCTATCGTTAAACAATTTAATATAATATTATTTGATTAAATAAAGAACGGAGTCAGAGTTGGCTTGGAAATGAAGATCGCTGTTATTTCATATGTAAAATATTACGGTAATGTCAATAATCATTATTTCCAAGAAAAATTAAACGACTTTTTTTGATCATACGACATATTCAATACCTATAAAAGAATTTTTATTTTTGTTGTTTATTCTATGTTTAACACGAATATATTTTGAATACAATAAGGCGGATTTTTCATCCAGATATTTTCGTCAAACGTATTACAGATATTGCACCTTTTAATATGTAATATGTACGTAACTATGTAATATAATTTTTAATGCTTAATATGTAAATATATGTTAATTAAAAACACACTTTTTGACACCCTGTATAAAAAAATACCACGTGACCCCGTTGTTGCGTTCGTACCCTCTTTGAACTTGCGCAAAGTCTTTACTAGCCTTACAGAAGTATTACTATTATGAAGAATACCAATAAAAAACTAAATTCATACAAAAAAAAATAGCAATCATACTACAGTCTCGATGAAATATTTGGGCTCTGCAACAAGCTATATTAATCAAATTATTTATTAATCAGTATTTTTTAATAATATCTAATGAAGATGGTGAGGCTAGGTGATCGAAATATAGTGAAAGATGTGATTTTCGGTGAAGGAAAGAAAATAATAGTGAACAAAAGTGAATAAAAACAATGCGCTCAGATTACGGTAAGATTTTCTGAGTATATTGTTTTTTGTGAAGGCTAAAATTTTGTTAAATAATATTGAATAATCAGAAAAGTACACTAATTATTATGATTTGGACATAAATATTAAGTAAAATATTATAGAATCTATAAAAATTCGTTCAGTAAGGAAGACTAGTTTGTCATAAGGCGGTTTTATATAAAATAATTAAAAACTTTCATAGATAAATATTTAAAAATCTTCTATCATTGTGTACTTTAGTAATTATTGTTGTGGTGGTTCCAAAGTACAATAGATCCTTATTATTATTAATTAAAAAGTACCTGATAAAACGATGAAATACAATTATTACAACATCTCAAAATACTGTAAAAAACTTTGTACTATACAGGATGAGTCTTAAATAAGTACAAATATTTTAAGGGTAGTATATTTCGACCCTAGAAAAACATCTATGCGTTTTTTTTCGCGAATTTGAAATTTTATGAAAAAATTTTTGTATTTTTTTTTAGTTTTTAGGTAAAAAAACATAATTTCTTGATAATATGTCAACAATTTACAAGAAAGAAAACAAAGAAAATGTTCAGTGGTTCTTAAAATTTAAGCAAAAAACAATTTTTTTTGTTTTTCAGATTAAAATAACTCGGTTATTTTAGACTTATTTGAAAAACGGTAAAGAAAAAATATGTTTCTTTTATCGAGATCTACCAGCTCTGAA